GAACTTGTTGGCTCTTGGGTAGAGCTTGGTTTCAGTGTAGGTATGGAGGCTTTTGGATGAGCGCTTGTCGATTAATGTTCCCTGGAGTCAGGAGTTTTCTGGTGTTCTCAAGTTTTGGATTTAAGCCTCCTGCCTCTGGTTTTCAGTCTTATTCTTACAGTAGCCTCAAGACTTCTCCATCCATACCACACCAATGATAAAACATCTGGGTTAATGGAGAAAAGATTCTCCACAGTGAGGGACACCCAGAGAGGTTCACAGAGTTATGTGGAGAAGAGAAGAGGGAGGAAGGAGATAGAGGTGACCAGGAGGAGAAGAGGGGGAATCAAAAGGGGAGAGACAGAGCTAGCCAGTAATCAGTTCCCTAAGTATTCTCCACAGCCCGGAATACCCAAAGAGATTCACAGAGTTGGGTAGAGAAAACAAGGGGGAGGGAGGAGATAGAGGTGACCTGGGGGAGAAGAAGGAGAGTCAAAAGGGAGAGAGGGCAATCAAGCCAGCAATCACACTCCAGAGTAAAAATGGGTACTGAAGATTGGATGCTTAAAGGTACAAAATTGATAACAAATGCCAAAAAGCAAAAATTAAAAATCTAGAGTTGAGGTTAGACTCTCGAATATAAATATTAAAAAAACAAAAAATCACAAAAATTGTAAAAAATATATATGATATTTGCTTTAAAAATAGGGTCTTTTTTTTTTTTGCAAGGTAAGAGTAGGTTATAAAAATGAAAATTAAAGGAGTAATAAAGGACTTAAAAATTAAAAAAAATTAAAAAAATGATAATAGTAAAATATATCTAGGAATTTCTCTGGAGCTGTTGCTGGCAGTGTGGGGTCAGTTCAGTTTCAGATAGTTCCTTGTTTCAGCTTATACTTCTTCTTGAGGTCTATAGGCCCCTTCCAACGTAGTCTGTGCCAACTACAGGATTTTAGTCTGTCACACCTGTCACTTCCGAAGTGGTTCCCTCTGTTTATTTTGGCTTCTTCTGTTTGCAAGTCTCTTCAGTGTCTAATTTCCGCCCTGACACAAGGGAGTGAAGGTGGTCATTTGTTTAGGCTCACTTGTTCAGCCATGCTGCGGGGAGGGAGAAGCACGGCAAACAAATATCACTGGCATGTGTGGGGAGTGCTCGCAGTGTCTGGGCCACACTGGATCTGCTCCGCTCACAGCGTGTGTGCTTTCCCGGTCTACACTGCTCAGGCTCCAGGTCGCTCTGCAGGGGAACTGTCCAAAGCGGCCCCTGGGTTGCGTGCACTTCCCAGGTCTAAGCCGCTCAGGTTCAGGTTCTCGGGTGCTCCACAAAGGCGCGGACTCCGTTGGGCCTGCGTCTTGCGCCCTTCCCATGTCTGAGCAGCTCAGGTGCCCAGGTGCTGGGCCAGCGCACACTCCTCAGGTGGGGCGGGGCATCTTATCTCCTCCCCCATCCCAGCCGCTCGGTTTCCTGGGTGCGCAGCGGGAGCGCCGTCTCAGGTGTACCGTGTCTCCTCTCAGGAGATGATCTCTGGCTGCAACCCTCCTGGCGGATGTCCACCGTCCAGGATCCCAAGAAGACTTGGTTAGCAATCGGGAGCCTGCTCACAGTTTGCTAGAGGATGCCGTCTCTGGGGCCAAGTTTGCCCCTTGCCTTCCGGCTCTGGCTGTCGCCCACCTGCCTCTCTGCCTTCCGGTGGGGATGGGCCCATATGCAGCCGGCTAGCTCTCCTCTGGTATTCGCTCCGTCCTTCGTTCTGTGAGTGAGCCCGGCAGTCTCTTAGGTTAGAGCTCTTTGCAGGAAACTTCTCTCTCTCTCTCTTTCTTTTCCTTTCTCTCTCTCTCTCTCTCTCTCTCTCTGGTTATCCCACAGTTTGGATTGCTATCTCAGTTAGCGCCCTCAGATTGTCCTCAGGGCATTCAGGCCCAGTCCTTACCCTAAGCAAGGTAAGGTGGTGGCTGACGCGAGGGTCTGGGCTACTTCTCTGCTGGGAGTTGTGGTTGGGTGTGTAATCTGTGGGTTTGATTTATTTATTTTCTCCTCCCAGTTATGTTGCCCTCTGAGATTCCAAAACTCCCTACAGACCCGCCTGTGAGAGGGTTTCCTGGTGTTTGGAAACTCTTTCATGACTCCCTCCCCGGGACGGATCTCTGTCCCTAACTCTTTTGTTTCTCTTTTTATCTTTTTTATTTTGTCCTACCTCCTTTCAAAGACAATGGGCTGCCTTTCTGGGTGCCTGGTGTCCTCTGCCAGCAGAAGTTGTTTTGTGGAATTTGCTCAGTGTTCAAATGATCTTTCAATGAATTTGTGGGGGAAAAAGTGGTCTCCTCGTCCTATCCTCTGCCATGTTAGGACCGCTCCCTAAATACAGCTTCTTTTGTAGAGTTTACCTTATCAAGAATCAGTTTCAGTCTCCACTCTGCTCCTGATAGTTACTGCCCTCCCATTAATGTGTAATTTCTTCAAACTTTAGTTTTCCTACCCACAAAATGGGATAACCATAGTTATCTCTCAGAATGGTCATGAGCAAGAATTGAAATGATGCTATTAAATCCTATAAAAGTGGCACAAAGATGGTTGTAATTTTATTTGAAAGTACGTACTCTGTTATGAAGCATGGTTAAGATAAGCTGTAACTTTTTATATTTATTTATTGCTAATGGTGGTACAAAACAGGTGCCTTTTAGGAATGAATGTTCACTTGCAGGTGGTTTCTTTGTTGCTGTGGACTTTATGTGGTTTGTTGGATAATTGCTTAGTAGAAGTTTATGTCATTTTACATAATTTATTTATGTAAATTGGACCTTTGAATTTATCAGTGAAAAGGTAATAATCAAAGATCCAGGTGTAGAGCTGTCAGTTTGCAAAAATTAAGTGTCAAAAGTATGAGGGTGATTTGTACATCTTCCAACACATCTGGTTTAATCCTTTATTTATTTATTCTTTCACTCAATACATGTACCTATTTCCTGAGTGCCCAGCATTCTGCAGAGATCAGTGAGCCAAAGAACCCACTTCTCTTACTTAAAAGATCTCTTTTAATAAAGCTATCATTTCTTATTATTCCATGGGAAAATAAACTTTCTTTTTTTTAAAAAAAAGTATTACTTTATTTTTGGCTTTGCTGCATCTTTGTGGCTACATGCGGGCTTTCTTTAGTTGTGGTAGGTGAGGCCTGCTCTTCTTTGTGGGGCATGAGCTTCTCTTTGAGGTGCTTTCTCTTGTGGAGCACAGACTCTAGGTGCACGGGCTTCAGTATTTGCAGCATGAGGGCTCAGTAGTTGTGGCTCTTAGGCTTAGTTGCTTCACAGCATGCAGAATCTTCCCAGACCAGGGATCGAACCTGTGTCCCCTGCATTGGCAGGTGGAATCCTGTCCACTGCGCCACCAGTGAAGTTCACATTGTTACTTCTTTATTGGAGCTCCTATGGTGCTTCTAGTGTTTTGCTTGAGTCAAAGTTTAAAGAACTATTTTTATATCCGAGGGAAGTATCCAAAAAATGATGAACACTAAAGATGCTATTAACACTTATTCCCATGCACACTAAGACAGGAGGAGGAAGAGAAATTCATCTTGTGCATAGAATGAATGTATTAGGATCTACAATGTGTCTTTTGTTCTTGCTGCATTTGGAAACTGCTTTTTAGGTCACCAATTATTTCTTTGTTGGCAACTTTACTGACTTTTTTCCTTTCTAACCTCTCTGTTGCATTTAACTCTTAGTAACATTAAGGCAAGTTTATTAAATACAAACATGACAGAGTGAGAGAAAGAAAGAGAGTGAAACAGAGCAAAACAGATGCCGTTTCCCTCCCTTCTGTGCATCATGGCACCAGTTCTCCTGTGGTGCAACCAGATTCTTTTTTCCTCCAGCCATTCCCAGCCATTGACATCCCCCCAAGGCTTGGAATTTCACTCTTCAGTTGTTTTTTTTAAAACTTGTAGGTTCTCCTCCAGATCATTGCTACTTTGTGAATATAGTTATCATGTTTATTCCAATGACTCAAAAGCAAAATTTGTCCTTGCCTATGATCTGAGCTTTGGCTCTGAGCTTTGGCTCCACGTTGCTAATAGATCTCTTTAAACTCAAAACAAATATATTGTCATTTTAGAAAAATGGAAAATCATGAAGAGATCTATTGAAATATAGTACATTTTAAATGTGTAATTTGAGGTAAGTATTCTCCACAGTGGACATCCCAGGTGGCAGTAGTGGTAAATAACCACTCCCACCCCCCCACCACAATGCAAGAGACGGACGCAGCAGACTCTGGTTTGCTCCCTGGGTCAGGAAAATTCCCTGGAGGAGCAAATGGCAACCCACTCCAGTATTCTTGCCTAGGAAACCCATGGACAGAAGAGCCAGGCGGGCCACAGTCCATGGGGTTGGAAAGAGTTGGACATGACTGAAGTGACTTAGCATGCATGCACGTGGTGTCTGGATCCCAAAAAGCAAAAAAAGAGGCTTCTTACCCTAGCACAGTGTCACTTCTGTCAAAGGGAGATGAGAGGCCAGCATAGCTTTGAGAGGAAGAAATCAATGGACTCCACCACCTGGTGGAATTGGGGCATATGTACACTGGAGGGGGCGCATTTTAAATTATTTATTTATTTATTTTTGACTGCACCATGCAGCTTGTGAGATTAGTTCCCTACCAGGGATCAAACCCAAGCCCCCTACACTGGAAGCATGGAGTCTTAACCAGTGGACCACCAGGGAAGTCCCCGAAGGAAGGCATTGTTGACAGCTGTCTTTGGGAGTCTCTTTACCATGGGAGACAAATAAAAATTCCTCTACTTTGAGTTTGTGACTAATTCCTATCACCCAAGATCTTGGATGAAGAGTGCATTTAGTTTTTGCAGCTAAATAGATACCCCAGGTTAAAATCCTGTCATAGTAGATTTTGTGATCTAGAGATCTATTAGTTTGGCAAGGGCCCTACATGATGCCAAGACTTTCCCATTGCTCTTATAAAAGGCTTACCATGTATGCTACCTGTAAACAATTTTTATTTTATTTTTTAGCTACTGAAAAACTACTTTAAGTGGAGAGCAGAATGTCCAGAAATAAGTGCAGATCTCCACCCTAGAAGCATCCTCGGGCTCCTGAAGGCGGGCTATGTCGGCGTCCTGAGAGCCCGAGACCCCACCGGCAGCAAAGTTCTGATTTACAGAATTGGTAAGTCACACACTTCTCTTCTGTTTTTCTTGACTGCCATATCAGAAGCTTCCATGAGTTTATATTTAAGAGTTTAGCTTTTTAACTTTTAACTTGGGTTTTGTTGTTGTTGCTTAGTCATGAGGTCATTATGTCATTGAGCAGGGCTCTCTTGGTGGCTCGGTGGTAAATAATCTGCCTGCTAATTCAGGAGGCACGGTTTATTTTTTATTTTTTATTTTTTTTGGAGACACAGTTTTGATCCCTGGTCTGGGAAGATTCTACATGCCTCGGAGCAACTAAGTCCATGTGCCACAACTACTGAATCTGTGCTCTTGAGCCTGGGAGATGCAACTCCTGAGTCATGTGGTGTCCCAATGACTGAATCCCAAAGGCTCTAGAGTCTGAGCAGCCACCATAGAGAGGAGCCCACACACCACAGCTACAGAGCAGCCCCTGCTCACCTCAACTGCAGGAAAGCCCGAGCAGCAGCAGAGACTCAGCACAGCCAAATAAATAAATAAAATTGTAAAAGCAGAGAGCAATCCCATTGTGCCTTCCTAGGAATACCTCTGATGATTTCTTCTGTTTCTTTGTCTTCATGATTTTCCATGCTATTACACACTACCCATTAACATCTAAATCTGTTAGGGTCAGCCAAAATTCCCTCCTCGATCCCATGAGACCCTTCAGCCTCCGACCCAGCCACCTCCCCACGTTTCCCATTCTCAGCTACACTTTTTAAGTTAGTCATGTTCACCGTTCACATTTTCTCACAGCTCCTCTCCACATCCCCTGGACTGGTTTCACTCCCATCTTCCTGCTGAAGTGACCTTAGCAAATCATCAGTGATCATCTTTTCACAGCAAACCCCTTCCTCTCTGATACCACAGTCTCCTGTTTTCCTCCAACTTAACTGATGATTCTTAGTCTCCTTCGCTGGCACTATATATCCTATTTTAAATTCTGTAATTCTTTTAGACATTGGCCTCAGCCTCCTCTTTTTAGCTATATATCTCTCTACTACAACAGAGAATTGTTAAGTCCACAATAATCACTGCCATAGGCCTATATATAACCACAAAAACCCTGAGATTTGTATCTTCAGCCCATCTCTCTTTGTTTCTCAAAGCTTCAGACAACCAGTTCCCTGTCTCAACTGTATCCTCCTGAACATTTCACCAGCACCATTTTAATGTGTTCAAAACTGCATATAATCTTTCCTTCCCCAAACACTTCTTTTCCAGTATATCTCAACAAATGGTACCACCATTCTACCTAATTGTCTAAGCCAGAAACTTTGGCGTTTTTAGAATTTTACCTTTCCTTAGTCATAAATCTTTTCCCTCCCTTCATCTTGTTAGGTATTGCATGAAACTTTTAATCTGAAGATTTGCATCTTTTTTCCAGCTTTGGAAGAATTTTCCTTTCCCCTCTGTTGCCTGTTATCTGTGTTTTTGTCCTCCAGAATTCTGATGAGTTGGACTTTGAAACCTCTGAGTCTAGCTGCCTGTCTCTTACCCTTTTATTCATACATGTTGACTTCTGGCTCTCCTATGCTGAAACTGAGAGAATTCCTCAGCTCAATATTCCAGACCCTTATTCACTTGTTGGCTGTATGTTTTCTGACATTTGTCCTATCAACAGAGATTTGCTCGAATTGTCATCTTTTTATTTCCGAGATCTCAATTGATTCTTTTTCATAATAGCCTCTTCTTATAGTAATAGCCTAGGGCTTCCCTGGTGGATCTGACAGTAAAGAATCTGCCTGCATTGCAAGAGACCCAAGTTCGATCCCTGGGTCAGGAAGATCCCTTGGAGGTGCGCATGGCAACCCACTCCAGTATTCTTGCCTGGAGAATCCCATGGACAAAGGAGCCTGGCGGGTTACAGTCCCCGGGGTCGCAGAGTCGGATATGACTGAGTGACTAACACACACACAATAATAGCCTATCTTTATTTTTCCTCACTGAAACTATTTTGTTTCCTTTAATGTTTCTTGCTTTATTAGCTATCTCCTTCTATTGTAATGCCTTTGTCTATTGAGTTGGATCCTCTTTTCTTTTGTGTCAGTGTTTTAAAAAATGTTATAATTCATAGTGGTTGCGTATCTTTTTAAAAGATCACCTGCTTGCCTATCCATTACTGTCACTTTTGCCTGCCATAGCCTTCCCCAGAACTAGTGGGGGAGGGGAGAGGACAAGAATTCAGCAACTCCTTAGCACAGGTATTCCTTATTTTTCTGGGTGGCTACCCTAGTGCTTCTTGACTGGACTTTCCAAGACCACACTCACTGTTCTAGCCTGTGTGGACATGACCGCTACACACTGCTCATCACAGGGGGGTGTCAGAGAATCTACCTGCCTGTCTTATGCGTTGCCCTTAGCAACAACCTCTGTGGTTACCATAGGACCCTGGCTACTCTTGGTAATCCAGAGCTTTGCTTTTCCCATTTTCAATACCTTTGAAAGTGGAGCATACCCAGAGGCATTCCCACCTTCAGCCACAGCTCCATCCTGCATATTTTGTGCTATAGTTTCATCTGGCCATCAAATACAGCCTACATTCATTCTTTTATTTTCCCCATGCTCTTAGGAATCTGTCCTTTTTTTTATGTGGACAAGGAGACACATGTGTGATCCCTGGGTCAGGAAGAGCTCCTGGTGAAGGGAACGGCAACCCTCTCCAATATTCTTGCTTGGAGAATCCCATGGACAGAGGCACCTGGTGGACTATAGTCCATGGGGGTCACAAAAAAGTAGGACAGGACTGAGTGACTAACAATTTCACTTAAAAAAAAAAAGTCTTTATTGAATTTTTTACAATATGGTTTCTGTTTTATGTTTTGGTTTTTGGGCCCCAAGACATGTGGGATCTTAGCTCCCAGGGATCGAACCCTCCCCTGCTACACTGGAAGGCAAAGTCCTAACCACTGGACCACCAGAGAAGTTGAAAGAATCTGTTTTTTACTAAGGATTTGAGGGAGGGAGGGAAAAGCAGGCTCATGTTCCTGAACCACCAATTTGATCTGTTATTCTATTCATGATCTTCATATATGTATTAGTTCTATTGGTCTCTAAATCTAAAAAGAATCCATTTCCTTCTGTAAATCTTTCTGATTCTTTATTCTTCACACAGTGCTGAGATACGAGTTTTTACATTTTTTTTTCAGCACACTGGGACCCGAAAGTTTTCACAGCTTATGATGCATTTCGTGTGAGTCTCATCACGTCGGAGCTTATTGTTCAGGAGATAGAGACACAGCGGAATGGAATCAAGGCTGTCTTTGATTTGGAAGGCTGGCAGTTTGCTCATGCCTTTCAAATTACCCCCTCTGTAGCCAAGAGGATTGCTGCTGTTCTCACAGTAAGTGTGTGGTGTGTTCAGGATTGCTTTTGTTCCGTCGCTCAGTCGTGTCCGGCTCTTTGTGACCTCATGAACTGCAGCACACCAGGCTTTCCTGTCCTTCACTGTCTCCTGGAGTGTGCTCAAACTCATGTCCATTGAGTCAGTGAGCCATCCAACCATCTCATCCTCTGTCATCCCCTTCTCCTCCTGCCCTCAATCTTTCCCAGCATCGGGGTCTTTTCTAACGAGTCAGCTCTTCACATCAGGTGGCTAAAATGTTGGAGTTACAACTTCAGCATCGGTCCTTCCAATGAATATTCAGGGTTGATTTCCTTTAGGATTGACTGGTTTGATCTCCTTGCTGTCCAAGATACTATCTTCAGGATAATACTTCCAAATATTAGATATATAGTTGTGTGTTAAAGAGAAGGGATAGTATATTTATTGGGCTTCCTTGGTACCTCAGCTGGTAAGGAATCCGCCTGCAATGCAGGAGACCCTGGTTCGATTCCTGGGCCGGAAAGATCCCTGGAGAAGGGACAGGCTCCCCACTCCAGTGTTCTTGGGCTTCACTGGTGGCTCAGATGGTAATGCAGGAGACCTGGGTTTGATCCCTGGGTTGGCAAGTTCTCCTGAAGGAGGGCGTGGCAATCCACTCCATTCATTGGGCTTCCCAGGTGATGCTAGTGGTAAAGAATCTTTCTGCCAATGTAGGAGACCCAAGAGACTCGGGTTTAATCCCTGCGTCAAGATCCCCTTGAGTAGGAAGTGGTACCCCACTCCAGTATTCTTACCTGGGAAATCCCACGGACAGAGGAACCTGGTGAGCTATAGTCCATGGAGCCACAAAGAGTCAGACAAGACTGAGTGACTGAGCACAATCACACACACAAGTACATTTATTAGAAAATCAAATAAAATTTTAGAAGAGATACATAGAATTCAATAATGGTAAGAGGAAGTAAATTTATTATTTCAAAAAGAAAGAATGTTGCAACAAACTGAAAATATGTTCAAAATTTCAAACCACAGAATTCATACATTTAAACAAGAATGTGATGACTTTATCTGTCATTAAAATTTTGTTCCTAAATTAAAAATTGACTCAAAAAATAATATTGATAACAATGATGATATACAACAAAGTGTCATGTAGGTTTGGCTGGTATAGATTGAACAGTTCTTTCCAGAAAAAAATGTCTTAAAAATGACCATCATCTTTGACCTAGTAATCCTACTGTAGAAACCTAGCCAAGGAACAATCTTAAATATAGCAAAGACTTTGTATGTAATAATAATAGTTTACTCTGTACTGGATACTTTACTGAATGTTTTAAATGCATTACCGTTTAATGGCTACACCAAAGCTTATGACATATGACTATCTTTTTCCATTTTACAAATTATTTTACTGTGTCAGAGAGGTGACATAGCAATGCCCAAACATACACATTTTGTCAGCAGTGAAACAAGGATTCCAATCCAGGACGTCTAGATGTAAAAACTATACTTATAAACACCATTTCTTTTGTACCTGAAGACCATTACTATAGCATTGATTTTTGTAGAAGCAAATTAGAAACAACTTATTTATCCAGAAATAGGAAAAGGGTTACTTAGACGATGATACAGCCATTTGATAGATTATAGCTTCAATATTTAAAACCCACTATGTTTACAAAAATTGTGTTATGTCAGTGAAACAAAACAGAGTACAAATTATTTAGAGAGCATGATGGCAATTATGTTTAAAATAAAATTATTCATAGAAAGAACCTGAAAGGAAAAGTGACAATTTGGTAACACATCTCTAAAAGCTGTGGGTTGGGAAAAAAAAAGAGAAGAATTTTGCATAAAAGAACCTTGGCAGGAAAAAATTAACAATACATCTTTGGCTAGGGAAACTACGGATAAGGTTTTTCTTTCAATTCTTAACTTTTTAACCTTAGAAAAAAGCTGATATTACTTTGATGTGAAAGACTTATACCTATGTCAAAAATTTAAAAGTAAAAAAAAAAAGTTTATGTTTGTTTATTGTACTTTTCTTTTGAAGTAAACTTTTATGAAAGTTTTTTTTTCTTCAAAATAAAAATTTGAAGGGTAAAGCTAAATATACAAACAACTCACTGATTTTTCAAAAGCACATTTATATGTGATTGGGGGAGACATTTTCTGTGTCTTATTTATGAAATATGCAGGTATTTCTTTAAATACTTTGCCTAGGACAGCGAACTAGAAAGCAGGCTATTGTGTTGATGGCATAATTTTTAAAATAAAATCACACTTCAGGTATTGCTGTACGTTTAGCTAGTGTTCAAAGAAGGAGTTTGTTGATAGGATCACATATTGATTTATATTTTGTTATTAACAAGACATTTTCTTTATTTTCAAAAGGATTCCTTTCCATTAAAAGTTCGTGGTATCCATTTGATAAATGAGCCAATAATTTTCCATGCTGTCTTTTCCATGATTAAACCATTTCTGACTGAAAAAATTAAGGAACGGGTGAGTAAAACATCTTCAAATCACTATGCTTCTGTATGAAACTTACCACTCCTTTTTAAATTTAAGAATAGCTCTCTTATTTCCACCCCTCTCCTGACACACACAGAGCATTATCCAAGTGTTTTGAATATTTATCTAATAATCAAACTACTTTTATAAATAAAAATTTCTTTTTAATTTTGAAAAATCAAATACCGGACCTCCCATACATGGTTGGTGAGACTGCAAAATGATATATTCCCTCTAGGGGGTAGTGTGGCCATAGTTATAAAAATTACAACCTTCACATTTCTGAGATTTTTTCCAAAGATGTACTCATGGGGCTTCCCTAGTGGCTCAGATGGTAAAGAATTCACAGGCTAATGCAAGAGACACTGGTTTGATACCTGGGTCAGGAAGATCCCCTGGAGGAGGGCAGGGCAACCCACTCCAGTATTCTTGCCTGCGAAATCCCATGGACAGAGGAGCCTGGTGGACTATAGTCCATGAGGTTGCAAAGACTCAGACACTGCTTAGCAACAAAACAACAACAACAAATACCCGCTCATAAACAAAATTACATATATGATTCATTGTAGCAAAAGATTTTGAAACTATCAAGTGTTTATCATGAGGGAACTGGTTAAATAAGCTGTGATGCACCTACACAATGGAATACAGTAAGATTTGCAGGAGGTATAGGAAAGTGAAATAAAAACATGCAGAAGTGTTTATGTTATACTACCTTTTGTATGAAAAAGGGAAGACATCAGAATCTATAATTATATTTGCATTAAAGTTATCCTCAAAAAGGGTATACAACAACCAAATTGTTTACTCTGTATAGAACAGAAGCGAGTTATGGATGGCGTAGATGAGGTTAGGGTTGGGAGCAAGACACCTCAATGTCTTTTATCTTGTTTTGATTTCTAGCCATGTGAATGTATTATCTATGTAAATAATAAATGTACTTATATTAGACATGTTAACTAAAAACCACAGTATCCAAAGTATGTGACTTAATGTCATGTTAGTTAAAGCAAAGAGATTTGATGTTTTATTACCTAACCTGTGGAGTCTTATCTCAGGTAATATCACTTGGACTTTTTCAAGTGTTGACAATAGAATCTCAGTTCCCCAAAATGCAACCATTCTTCTGCATGAATCTTAAAGGATAATTTTTTTTTTTTTTTGGCCACGCCACATGACTTGCGGGATCTTAGTTCTCTGACAAGGGATCGAACCTGTGCCCTCTCCAGTGGAAGTTCAGAGTCCTAAGCACTGGACCTCCAAAGAATTCCCTTAAAGGATAATTTTTAGAGCATAATATTTAGACAAACGTTGGCAACATCTAATGCAAGGACACAAACAGGTTTTAAAGGCTTTTATGATTTAAATCTCAAAAATTATTTAAATATAAATACTGATAATGTGAGTAATAACAACATATTTGGAATTTTAGAAAGTATATTCTTTCAGATTCTGAAAATGTATTATCTTACATCTTCTCAGAAGATTATGACTGCAGAGCTTCATTTGAGGTTTTCTAATAGGTATTTCTGTCTGTCATTAAGAACCACCCCTATTCTTTTATTTTCACAAAAGTCAATTTTTGTTCATTTTTTTCCTCTCTTCAGTATAGTTTGATAATAGCTGATCATCTCTGTTGAACTCTGAAAGACATAAAAATTTCTATTTTGGGTTATATTTTGGATCACAAAACCCCCAAAATATAGCAATAAATTGAACCTAATAAACAGGAGAACATGAGCAAGAAAAGAAGAAAAATTTAAAATTGAGAAGTTAAGTGGAGCATTTCAGTGGAAGTTAATTGACATGAAACATGATTTGCCAAAATGAGGAGGGTGAGGAAGCCCAGATCTTGCCACTTTCTCTCCTTAAATGTTTTGGCAGTACTCTATGGATGACCTTATTTCCTTTTTCTTGAAGAGATGGTAGAATTTTTGAATTAGCTGGTAATATTTTAAACACTTCTGAAAAAATCAAGAACTGGGACTGTGAGGTTCCTGGGTACAAGAAACTTGTTTCATTCATCTTTCAGTCTTTGTATCCTAGCACATGAAGTGAAAGTGGAAGTGTTATTTGCTCAGTCATGTCCTACTCTTTGCGACCCCCCGGACTGTAGCCCGCCAGGCCCCTCTGCCCATGAAATTCGCCAGGCAAGAACACTGGAGTGGAGAGCCATTCCCTTCTTGAGGGGATCTTCCCGATCCAGGGATCGAATCCAGGTCTCCCATATCGCAGGCAGATTCTTTACCATCTGAGCCACCAGGGAAGCCTCAACCCTAGCACATAGTAGGAGCTTATTAGAAGATTGAATTTACACATGAACCCTAGCAGATGAGTAATGGTCATTTATTTATTTGTAACAAGATGTGCTTTTAATCAAAAATTCCAAGTCTTTAACTTCAGGACATTATATGATGAGTTTATATAGTTTAAAATGTTTGAAAATTTAAGTTCTCAACCATCATAATTTCTCTTAATTTTTTATTAGCCAAGACTATCTGTCAACTGTACCACATAAATTATTCCCCACATACCTAGTTGTGTGCTCAGATGTATGCTTTTATTTGATAAGAACTAATGAAAAGAAATATACTTTTATCATCTACAGAACTATTCCAGGATATTCCATCTTTTGCTAAGAATCACCAATACATTAGTAGGGAACAGAAGGTATAAAATAATTTCTAAAAATTGCTTGTTATTTATTTTTTGGCTGCACCGGGCCTTTGTGGCTGCACAGGCTTTTCTCTAGTTGCTGTGAGCAGGGGCTGCTCTCTAGTTGTGGTGCAAGGGCGTCTCACTGCAGAGGCTCCTCTTGCTGCAGAACACGGGCTCTAGGGTGTGGGGGCTTCAGGAGCTGTGGCTCCTGGGCTCTGGAACACTCAGTAGTTGCGGCACACAGGATTAGTTGCTCCTTGGCATGTGGGATCCTCCTGGACCAGAGATCAAACCCGTGTCTCCTGCATTGACAGCTTGATTCTTTACCACTGAACCACCAGGGAAACCCCCTGATAAGAACTAATAAAAAGAAGTACACTTTAATCATCTACAGAACCATTCCAGGATACTCAATCTTTTGCTGAGAATCACCAATACATTAATAGGAAATAGAATGTATGAAATGATTTTAGAGTTTTAAAAATCTACTTTTGAAAGAAAAAGTATCTTTTTATAAATTCTAAATAGTTATAAGGATGCAAATATAAGAAAACAGTAAGATGCGCAGCTTCATCAGCAGCACAATCTAAACATAAGTAAAATTATTGGCTTCGTAAGCAGAGGGACAAATGATGTAGTATCTGTACATGTTCTGCTGTCTTAGATGTGATGAGAATACCTCATTTTATGATGTTGAGTTTCTGCTAGAAATGCCTCTGCTATACTGGGAGGCAGAGGGCATATCTTCTAAAACATTTTGTCTGTTTCAGATTCATATGCATGGGGACAACTACAAGCAAAGCTTACTCCAGTATTTCCCAGACATTCTTCCACTGGAATACGGTGGTGAAGAGTACTCCATTGAGGACATCTGTCAGGAGTGGACAAATTTTATAATGAAGTCGGAAAATTATCTCAGCAGCATTTCACAGACGGTTAAAGAAGAAGTTATTTAATGTGAAAGGTTTCCTGATTAAAAATTCATGACTGAGATCCTATCTGGTTATATGAATGAAAGAAAAGGAATCTTTAAATTAATGCTTTTCTGAGTTTTTTTTCTAATGGAAAAATCTTCTAACTTGAGCAATGTGGGTATTTGGGAAACTTCTTTACTTTTTAAGTAGCTTTTCTTTACCTTAGAAGTAATTAAATGTTAGTATTCCTTAAAAGCATAGAAGGGATTCCTTTTTTGGCATTTGAAAGAAAGGTATCTCTGAAGTACCGTTATGTGTACTTTTGTGTTTCTCAAAAGTTTTATTTTAAAAAACTTTTCTGGTTACGTAGGTTTAATTATAAGTGAATAAATAGTCCATTGAAGAGAAATATTTGCACAAGTCAAATGACTACAAAAACCTATTCACACTCTTTTTGGGTGTGTGTCAGATTAGACTATAATTCAGATTGAAATCTGAATACAGTTTTACATAGTTATTTCCAAGGGCCAGCAAAGTAGTTCACCTCAGGGAAATTCTATTTAGCATATTTGCACAATAGAAACTTTTGACTGAAGTCCATATGCAATAAACGATTATGTGTTGCATCAGGTCTCTATGAAATTATTCATGTTGATACAATTAATTCCATAGAAATTCAGAGATGGAATAATATTTGGTTGCCATATACATGGACTCTGTTTTTAATTGAACAGTAACATGACTACACAAGGGGAAGGAAATGTTTACATTGTAAAATCACTGTCAGTTACATCTGGATCTTTGCAGACTACGCATGAAATAATTTGGGTTTTAGTATATTATCAGAACATTCTAGCCAAATCCTACAATTCATATTTACTTAAAAAAATCAGTAGTTAAAATGTGCTGTTTGTACTGTACTGTTTGTACTGCTAATACACATTTCACTTATTGAGAAAGATGTCAATATAACTTTCAATTTATGACAATTTTTACAGTATTTTATAATTTTTGAATTTTATTTTAAACCTCATGAAAGAACACAGGATACAAAATTTGTTAAACATTTTTTAGCTTAGTTGGGTTTCAACATTAATCATACAATATTAGCTTTGTGAAAGAATATGTAAAGGCTGTTTTTCTTTATAAGAAAATTATTCTAATCAGATGAGCTGGTACTTATGACTCTTTGTACATATATCTGTAAAAAATCAAATGATTATGAATGTTCTTTAGAGAACGTCTTAATTGTGATCTAGCATTGGGAAGCTAACTGTACATTATAATTTTTATTTAAAAATTAGATTATGCTTGTTTTCTAAAAAATGACAAAACATTCTTTATAAAATCATAAATTTAGAACTGTTTAGTTAAAAATAACAGCAGAATAAAACCATTTTAAAAGTATAAATAATAGCAACAACAAAAAGCTCTAGTTTACCCAACTTTTATTCTTACAAGGTTTACATCACAAAGTTCCACTTCATTCACATTTTGGGAACTTAAACCACTTTCTTCTGACTCTATAAAAGAGCGATTAGTTTAGCACAATAGATAGTATTTTTAAATGTCTTTTAAATATTATTCATTGGTGATGTTATTAATAGTAAATAGAATTAAAGTAAGTCCAACAGAAGTACATTTCATGATAGGATTTTGAATTTTTTACCAAATGCAGCGATTCACTGAGGAACATTAAAAGAACAATGTAAAATGAACAAGCAGTTTTATAAGGTGGCAAGATAAATCACTATTGAATTGTCTCTATTACTTTACTGTAACTGCACCAGAAGTGCCTTTTGAAAGACTAATACGCGCTCATTGTTACTGAACTGCACGATAATGTATTTGTTCTAATATTGTTCAAAACAAAATAAAGATTTTTCACACAAACTATAGCTGTTGGTTTTCCATTTTTAAAGAAGAATACTAAGTATTCTTTTTCAAAAACCGCTTTTCCTTACAGAGAAGCTTAAGAAAAAAGTATCACCATCTAGTTGTCCTCTTTATACATTTCAATTGCAGACTGGTTTTCCCCACTGCTCAGTTCAATACCACTTTCCCCAGTGTTGTTATGGTTAAAGGGACCACAGATTAATTTCATAAAATTAAGCCATGCATAATTTCAGAAGTTAAAACTTAAGTGAGAAAAGCCAGAGTATGTCACTTTATCGGATAATTTGATTTGGAAACTAGCAGCCCAGATCATGATTTCAGATTATCAATATGTTTCCCTTACAGAAATAACACAGAAGTCCTAGAGCAAGTAGTAGTTTTGTTACCCACCTAAATCAAGCCAGTAGCTCACAAAACTGGTCAAACATACAAACCTCAAACTAGTAAGGTGATGATGTCTGACACACTTCTTCCTGGTCTCCGGTGTTGAGTTTTGCCCCACTTGGATGCTGTGGGAGAATGACGCGTTACAGAGATGAAACTGGATATGATGGCAGTGAAGTGAGGACGGGCAGCAGACCAACCCCACCCCCACACTGTGGTCCTGGTGGTCAAGGGCACTCGCTTCCTAACCTTCTCCCTCCCCAACAGCTAGCACTTGATTGACTGCTTGCCTCCTCTTTGTCCAAGTCAATCATATCAGTCTAATAAATATCAACAAATCAGAGCAGACCAAGAGATCTGGTTTAAAAAAAAAAAAGGTTGTTGAATTAAAATTCCATCTTGCAGCTGGACCTATTTTGTTAAAGGGAAGGTAAAAGGGGTCAGGGGGGAGAGGGATGTTCCATACATCCAAATGTTCCTGACCCTATTCCAGAATTCAGGTCTAAGCAAGCGGGTGTGCCTCACTTGTGCGTGCATGCTAAGTTGCTCAGGCGCCTCTGTCCATGGGATTCTCCAGGCAAGAATACTGTGGGTTGCCATTTCCTCCTCTAGGGGATTTTCCCAACCCAGGGATCAAACCCATGTCTCCTGCACTGGTAGGTGATTCTTTATCACTGAGACACCTGGAAATTCCTAAGAGATACAAACCTCCACTTAGAAAATAAATAAGACACAGAGATATATATACAACATTTTATTGTAATAAATTTTTGTATGGAGTCAGATGGTTACTAGATGTATTGTGGTGAGCATTTCCTAAGGTATGCAAATATTAAATCACTTTGATCACATCTAACATACTCTTGTACATCAATTGTATTTCAATATAAAATAAAGGCCTTTTCTGCTAACTCCAGGATCAGGGTCATCTATGAGTCTATTTTATATTTCTTATTAGATTACTATTACATATTTCTGTTTCTTCATATTTTTAATAATATTTTATGTTGGACATTGTATTTAGCCGTAGAGTCTCCAGGTAATATCTCCCATCAGTGACAGCTCTTCTTTTGTCAGGTATCATGAAAGCCGAGTAAATCCCATCAGGTCTTGAGCTGGGCTGTAGATTTGAGGATTCAGGCTATCTCGGGTTCATTCTGATTCTTCATAATTGATTCACTTGGGTTTTTTGGTGTCTTGAATGTTCTCCTTTTTCTTAGCAATTCCTTCAACAGATGTTTTAGTGGTGGCAACTGGGTGTATGTGGGGGTGAGGTGGGGTCACTGCCATGACTTATTTCTCTTCATTTCCCCCCTTATCTCCTCCTTTCCTTTCACTGTCCTCTCTTGAAGGGACACTACCCACTTGTCAAAGCAGCTGCTTCGCCCTCAGAAGCAATACTTATCTGAAGTTGCCATCTCTGGCTCCTTCCTGACATCAGTACTAACCCTCCAAGAGGGCTTCCCAGACATAGGGCTTCAGCCATAAAGAACCCACCTGCCAATGCAGGAGCTGCAGGAGACACAGGTTCTTTCCCTGTGTCGGGAAGATCCCCTGGAGGAGGAAACGGCAACCCGCTCCAATATTCTTGTCTGGAGAATCCCATGGACAGAGGGGCCTGGCGGGCTATGTTCATAGGGTTGCACAGAGTCAGACAGTACTGAGCTCCTGAGCACAGGCACACACACATCCTTCCAAGACCTAGGCTGTGCTCAGTATCCTGGCATTTCATGTTTGACATTTTCTTTCAGGGCTTGATTTTGCCTATGCTTTTGTCTAAATTACTTGCTCCTCTTTCCTCATTTTCAAAGAGGAAGACTTGCATCTTCTCCTTAGCATCTGGAGTCTTGCAGCAGTGGAGAAAACTTGCTGGAGTTTGCTACTTAGCAGTCTCTCTGTTAATTTGATGTTTGTGGTACCCTCCATCTCCAAGTATTGTTAAAGGTATAAATCATGTGTAACTTTATTTGAAACTCCTTGTATATCTCATGGTTTTTCTTAAGATCTGTAGACAGATTCTGGCTTAGGCAGTTGACATAAGCCTCTGGACACCAGCATAACTTCTCTGTTATTTCTTATTGGTAGAAATTTAACTCTGTTGATGTGCCATAAGCCAAGCTGCTTCAGTCGTGTCCGTCTCTTGGCGACATTATGGACAGTAGCCCACCAGGCTCCTCTCTCCATTGGATTCTCCAGGCAAGAATGTTGCAGTGGGTTGCCATTTCCTCCTCCAGGGGACCCAGGGATCGAGCCTACGTTGGCAGGTGGGTTCTTTACCATTAGCACCATCAACTTCGCTGGTAACCAGCTCCAATTTATTAATTTTCATGCATTCTAAATATCAATTAATTATACAAGTTATTCATTCTTTTATTGACAGTGATTTAAGTTGCACTTAATATTTCACTATTACAAGAGAATGCTACAAAGAACATACTTGTATATGTTTATTTATTCACACATGCAGGCATCTCTCTCGGGTAAATACTAAGTCTAAACAGTGCTGTGTTATAGAATATGTGCATCTTCACTTTTACCACATATTGCCTAATTGCTCCCCCAAACAGTTGTAGTACTTTACAGTTCTACCAGCAGTGTTAAGAGGATTCTTATTTTTCTACACCCTTATTATCGAGGGTACACTTTTCTACACTGCTGTCATTCTGATGGATGTGACATACTATCTTGTTTTAATCTGCATTTCCCTAATGACTAGTGAAGCTTTGTCTTTTCATATTCTTTTCCTAGTTTTCTATTAGGTTGTTATTCTTTCTTGTTCATTTTAGTTCTTTGTACACGCTAGAAATAAATATCTTGGAAATTCTGTTTTGTAAATATATCTTCCAGATTTTGTGCCTTATCTTTAATTCATTTAGTTTAACAGAAGTTTTAAAATTATAACATCATTAAATCTACCAATTTCTTCCACTAACATATCATTTTTAAAAAATGTTTTCTGAAATTCCATCAACGTCATGGACACACAGTCCTATATTTTCTTATCAAAGTATACCAGTTTGCCTTTTACATTTATATCTTTACTCACCTACTAGAGTTTATTTTTGTGTATAACGAGAGGTAATACTTTTTTTCCTATGTGGACAGACAATTGCTCCAGGACTACAACTTCATACTGGTACAAAGTTTCCTCATCTGTTCATTTGAGTTCCAAACAAGCCGAATATGTAGGGCCTTTGACAAACACATCCATTCAGCTTATCACTCACCATGCCCTTCATGAGCAGCATTATTATCTTAACAAAGCAGGTGACATACTGCATTCACTCTTCTTGAAATACAGTCTCTTCACATATCCTGTTCTCTCTTTTCCTTACAAAACTGCAAACTTCTGAGACGGAAAAAAAAAAGGCATTGCCCAATTCATCTTTGCATCCTCTATATTTGGCACTGAGTTTATTATCAAATACTCTTCAATTTTATTCTGATTTTCACCCTTATAGGTGGGAACTCCCAGCCAGTATAAGCCATATCTTTATATTTAGGTTTTCACACAGAAAGAAAAGCTTACCTTTCATCTACTAGCCCACCAAAACAAGTTCAGTGTTTCTAAATCTCTTTTCAAATTTTAAACAAAAACCTCAAAATAACTTTTAGTTGATTAGGAACCCAAGCCACCCTTTGTACCCTGTTGTAGAACAGTCTGTGCTTGCGCTTGGCATCAGCATTAAGGTTAGAAGGCACCGTCTGCGGGTCTGGCCTGGACTTCTTGTTTTTGTCGTGATGCCAGGAGTGGCCTCTCCTTGACCCAGTTCTGAGCTGGGGCGATGCGCGTGGGCGTATTCACATCCGTCGGGCTTTCTTCATCTTCTCTTCGTTTGGTCCAGAAGCCTCGACCTGCAACGCAAATGGCAGGATGCGGAAACTACCTCCCAAGTCACCGTCCATCCCTGATGGAAAGCGGGGGTGTCCAACTCCGCCGCCAGCATTCCTCAAGACGGCTTTGGGCGGGAACAGCCGATGGCGCATAGTTCTCGGGCGACTTCTAGAACCTCTCTCCAGCCTCCCCCGCTGCCTGGTTACCAATCAGGTCAGACCGCGACCCAGCGCTCCTCACTCGACCGCTGGACCTGGCGCCCCAGTTAGTTCTGGGTGACTTCAGGTCACGTCGAGGAAACAGCTGAAAGGGCGGGCTCTAGTACGCGGAGCCCAGCGCACTTGCCCGAGCCCCCGCAGACGCCGCGGGGAGGGCTGGGAGCCGGGGGTCCGGGCGGCGGCGGAGCGATGGGGTAGGCGCGGTATCTGCGTCCCCGGAGTCGCCCGCCCCTGTGGCCCCAGCGCACATGCGCCCGGACGGCCTTTCCCATAGGCCCCCGCGGCGGAGCACCGCCCTCTCCCGACGCCCTCGAGCAGCCCGGAGACCGCCGCTGCCTCACTCGGCGGCTCGCCGGTGGTGCCTTTGAAAGGCGGCGGGAGGCGGCGAGCGCAATGGCGAGACTGGGTCGCCTGCTGAGCGTGTTGGGCCTGGTTCTGTGCGGGGCGGCGGGCCTCGGTCTGAGCGCCCCTCCCGCGCCCACCCCCAAGAAGCCCATCATCGGTAAGGAGGCGGCCAGGGCTGGGGCTGGGGCTGGGGCTTGTGAGCCGGGAGCGCGCCCTGGGCGCTTCCAGCTGCTGCGCTTAGGCAGGTGCTTCCAGTCCTGGAAACATCCAAGCTTAGGGTTAGGATGTGTGCCTTCCTAGCCCAGGGGTCAAACCATCATTGAGATCCTGCTGAAATATACCTAGGTAATGCTCGTTGATTTCCTGCAGATCCTTGGCTCTTAAAATTGGAAGGGAGGAGCGTGCACTGTGAAGAATCCTGAGGGTGGTTTTTGTGTTTGTACTCATCTAGGAATTTCTGCTAACTAAACCGACTGTATGCATGCATTATCTTTATTAAAATTTCACTGTTTGAGGACTCATTTCGAGGAACAATGCAAAATCGAATTGGCTAGATAATTGAGAAATTATGGTGTACCTGGTCTTTGTCGTCTTTGGCAGCGGAGGGCAGCCGTGGCTCCTGTGATCCTAGTAGCAATTCTCTTTTGTGCTAAAGTAAAGCAAGTAATTTTTCATTTTCAACACACTTAGGTTCTATAAAGGGAGTAAAATCAATTTGCATAGCCAGAACAGACATTTAAGACTGGGGCGAGGGAAAGCAACCCTGGAGAAATCAGCTTGTATTTGAAATGTACAACAAAGTAATTTGTGGGCAGACAACTAGAATTGATTTCATTTTAGCTGGTAGTATTGTTATACTTTTCATTCTGTTTTTTTTTTCCCCCTTTATTTCCCACGAAGATGGGTACTGTATTCTGTAACTAAATGGAAAGTAGTTGAGCATTTTTTCATGGATATTGGTAGTGTCCATTTTCATATGTGTTGTGTATCAATATTTGGAACTTGGGATGCATTATTTCATAAGCTATGTAAAATAGTGGTTAAAATCTTCAAAGGGAATTAACTAAAAATGTAATCCTATGTAGGCTTACTGGGTGGCTCAGTGATAAAGAATCCGCCTGCCAATACAGGAGAAGCAGGAGATTCAAATTTGATCTCTGGGTCAAGAAGATCCCCTGGAGGAGAAAATGGCAACCCACTCCATATCTTGCCTGAAGAATCCCATGGACAGAGGAGCCTGGCAGGCTACAATCCATGGGGTGGCAAAGAGTCAGACATGACTTAATGACTGAGCACATTGCAAAACAAAACTACACAGGATGTTGTATATTTTGATTACAATGTTTGTTCCGTGTTATCTGGTAAAATAATGTGCATTTTACTATATGTAATCTATACCTCAGTAGATCTGAGTAAAGGTCCTTCCAAAACAAAAAACCAAAAAAGGATGCAGAGAGACCTTTTAAGGAGCTATTGGAATAATCCAGGTTGGGGGGTTAGGCAGGATGTTTGTTGCTTGGATTAAGCTGGTGTTGATGGTGTTGGAGAAACAAGCATAGAGAATATTTTCACTCTTTTGCTTTGTTGTCAAGGAAACCGTGTGTGTGTGTGTGTGTGTGTGTGTGTGTGTGTGTGTGTGTGTGTGTGTGTGTAGGGAGGGGCCTTCTGCTGGATTTAAGGATCGGTACTCTGACATAGATTCTAGCTTGTTCGAAAGAACCTGGCTTTGGGGGCTTATTTGGCCTCCCTGATGTGGCAAGAGAGGAAGCTACTTACAATTCAGATCAGCCTCCACTACTCATTTCCCAAATCCTGTAGATATCCTTTCAGGAGAAGCTTCATGTTTCATTCTGTGAATTAAATGAGTGATGTAGTGACATTTCTAGGGTGGCATGTTTCAGTTTCTGAGCAGGAAAAAAGGACATTACTTGAAACGGAAACTTTTTTTTTTTAATTTAGGAATATTAATGCAAAGGTGCCATAATAAGAACATGAAAGCCCTGGGAAAATACTATATTGCTGCATCCTACGTGAAGTTTCTAGAGTCAGCTGGTGCGAGAGTGGTACCAGTAAGGTACGATGCCATAGTTTTTACACTGAATTTAAAAAGCTGCAACTGCTATTTCCTCTCTAAAGTTATCTTTTATCTCTAAAATGAATGCTTTCTCTCCTGCAATTGCATTATTCAAGCACATTAATGTTATACCTGATTTTTGCCCCAAATCTAATGCTTAGAGTCTCTCATTAAGTTGTTCAAAGTGTGAAGCTACATGTTTCTATCATATCATTAGAGCTGTGTCATGTGTATTAGATAGAGAATGAAATGATAAGTTCCTTTACTCCAGAAAAGGTGCTCCTCATCAGATATTACAAAAGTAATGGAGTAAAAGCACTTCTAGATTCACCAGCTTCGTTCTATAATATTAGCGTAAAGAAACATGTAGGGAATCGAGGAATATTCTAGAAGAGGACTTTTCAGAGACCTTCCCACCCCACTTTAGAAGTTTGGAAATGACTAATACAGCACTGTTGCTTCAATATTAATTGCAGATATTATGATTTCAAAGGAGCTACATTATTTTTGTGGTGTAATGATCTAAGGAACAATAAAATGACTCGTCATATTCATGACATGACATGATAAATGATTCATGTCATTTTGATTTGGAAAGACTTGAATTTTTTTAACAAAAGCCTTGTTGTTGTATTAATATTATCTTATCACCCCAAAATAGCGTATTTGAGGGTCTTCTAGCACACTCCTCTAATCCATTATAAGTGGTTTCACACATAAAACACGACTGTTTGCTCAGGAAAACCTGTTATTGTAAATAATTTCACATTCAAAAATGGTAGTAAAAGTAGAACATTAATAGTCAAAATGCAAATACTACAGTTTTGAGAATAGTACCACAAAATGGTTTTATGTTTAGATGAACATTTGCTTTTGACATTAGTCTTCAGTTTTTTTCATAGCAATCTAATTTTTTCAAATGAAATCTTCTTGGGAACTTAACTAACAGCAGAGTTTTAGAGGTGAGATGGAGGTTCTGGACAGTCCTCAAGACAACCTGCAAAGTTTTGATCCTGGAAGCTTTTTCTGCAAGCTGTTCTTTTAGAAAATATGTCTAGTAACATGGGTGGGAGGTGGGAGAGACAAAAGACAGGTAGACCAGTTCAGAGATTTGAGTGGGTTAGGTGTGAAGCAAGGAAGGCTTGGTTTCGAGCAGTGGTTGTAGAGTGGTAGAATTGCTAGGTAAATGTCTTTTAAAAAATCAATAAGACTTGACTACAAGGTTGAAAGGGCGCAGGGAGGAATAGACAAGAATGACAGAGGTTTTGAAACAGGAAGTTTTGAAACTGATGACTTGCAGAATACTGGGATTTATGACTGAGATACTGAAAACATGACATACAGGTTAATTTCCAGCTTGGATTCCCAAAGTTCATTTTAAGGTATATTGCTCAGAATTAGAATCATGTGATTCTATAAAATCTGTGTAATATGTGGCAACTAACTTCCCAGAGTAACCTGCAAAGGATTGCCCAATATAGAATGAGACGTGATCATACCGATGATGTTGGTTGGGTTTATTTCTGAATTTCGGATGCTGGGGACGGACTTCTGCAGTTCAGAAGGAAACAGGAGGTGGACGGGAGACCTCAGCAGAATCCTTGAGCAGGAGAAGACATTTGTGTTCGGTGCCCTTCCTCCTATCTGGCCTTCACCCTCTGGTGCCCGGTGCATTCAGGTTATTACAATCTCCTGCCCTAGAACTGGAGGGACCCAGAGGGTGTCTGCCTCCTGAGAGGTGGCATGTGACAGCACACTAGCATTTTTGGTCTAAAAATCTGTTTCATTTGTAGTGTTTAAGGTATGTACAAATCAGGAGACTCATAAAAGTCTGGATTTCTGGCCTTTATTTTTTTTTAAGACAATTTTCTGGAGCTGATTTTGAACAAAGCAAGAGCTGTCCATTGGCAGCAGTGTCTGTTGCTCCTTTTCATGCTCCGAAGCTGTCATTTGCCATCATTACTAGATATACGCTGTTTTCTTTAAAGAGAACTTATTGAGGGGGTCTTTCATTTCAAGAGGGATCGGGTGGAGAGGGAAGTGGGAGGGGGGACCGGGATGGGGAATACATGTAAATCCATGGCTAATTCATTTCAATGTATGACAAAAACCACTGCAATGTTGTAAGGTAATTAGCCTCCAACTATTAAAAATAAAATAAATAAATAAATTAATTAATTAATTAAAAAAAAAAAAGAAAGTCTGACAACATGCAAATGTCATCTGTGTTCAAAGAATGTGCTCTGGTCTGTTTTGCCTTCATGGTCTCTGAGACACCTAAGTTTGTGACCCCTGTCCCCACCCCACAGTTAAGCCTCTTAATAGTGATGCACTGGCCCCCCAATTCAGGCATGGACAACGTGGGAACTGTTTTTTGGAATGAGTGAAATGACCAGAACCCGGCTGCAAGGCTCCCTGGCAGGAGTCCCTGGAAAGCAGCTGATTCCTCTTAATCCATTCGAGCTCCTGATGGTGGTGGTTGCCCATCCTGATTTAAATGTCCATGGGGAAGATTCTGTGTCCCTACTGGCCCCCTCTTTGTTGACATAATCTGGGGAGATTGATCTGGCAGAACAGTGGGACTCAGCAGTTTCCCTGGCGGTCCAGTGGCTAAGACTCCGTGCTCCCAGAGCAAGGGGCCTGGGTTTCATCCCCGGTCAGGGAGCTAGATCTGATGTGCAACTAAGACCTGTTGCAGCCAAAGAAATAAATATTTTTAAAAGCAGAATGATTTTCACCTGGCTTTTAAATATTAATGTGTTAGCTTCATTTAGAGACTTTCTTCAGTTTGGGAAATGGATGTTTTGTAACTGTTTTTTATCATTTTCAGGCTTGATCTTGAAAATGAACAGTATGAAAAGCTTTTCAAATCCATTAATGGGTAAGTTGCCAACATTGGTTTAAGACAGTATATGTCTAAGTACAAAAAAGTACATATGAATACAATACACGTTTCTATGTAACTATTTTTCAGTGGTATAAATTTTAGTTTTCTGAGTTATTTTATAGAAATTATTTTGTTGAGAGATGCAAAAATCCTGCAGAGAGAAGGCAGATTAAAAAATAAATGTTATATAGTAGATAACATTTTTTTTTTAAATGTGTGACATAATTTTTGTTCTGTTAATGTTTGTCTTAAAGGCTTTGAAGCCACTTTGGAGGCCATGACTTAGGGGATTTATAAGTCTTAAGACTGAAGATATTAACTGGTTATCTTTCAGAAGGTGATTTGAATAGAATTTGGTAAAAAGTTTTATATCCTCTAGCTTCATCACAAAAGATATGATTGCTTAGCTCACAGAAAAAATCATATGAAAAAAATGTGAGACATACTCATAATTAAAGGAAAGCTAATTATAACAATTAAAAAGCATCAAGTTGCAGAAAGCAGAAAATGTGCTGATATTCTAAGGTGAGGGTATGAGGAAACAGTGTTCTTATACTTTATTTATGGGAGTTGTTGATGCAAATAATATATGAACAATATACATAAAGGAACAGAAGAAAGTTTTATTCAAGCCATACTGAGGACTATAGCCCAGGAAGAAAGTGCTTTGGAAAAACACCGTGTCATATCTTGACAGATCAGAGAATGTACATCAAACATGACAGGGTTACATTCCTTCCGGGTTTTGACAGAGATATGGCCAGCAAGTCTGGCAAGGGAACCTTATCTTGGAAGGACCGCTAGCAGGGGCATCATAGGGAGGGTGACCAATTATCCCTATCTTCAGAGTGGACTTTTCTTAAACTTCTAGATAATGTATTATTTTCTTAATGGCTAAAGCAGAGGTACAGTACATGTTTGATGGGCCACAGACAGATTGTTCTTATTAGCATAAAGTTCAAGTCAAATGATGTATAAGTCAGAATGACTTACCCATACTAGCTCATGCTAGCGCATAGTAGGTGAAAATTTCTTCCATCAGGGTGGAAGTTATATAGTCTTTTGCGGGCAGTTTTATAATATCTTTTGAAATTAAAAATGCATATACCATGTGACACAGGAAATGCTGGAGAAGGAATTTTATTTTACAAGTATAATCATCTCCTTTAACTTACATGCACTACTATATGTGAAATAGGTAACCAACAAGGGTCTTCTGTACAGCCTAGGGATCATACTCAATATTTTATAATAACCTATAAGGGAAAAGAATCTGGAAAAGAAAACCTGATCACTTTGCTGTACATCTGAAACTAACACAACATTGAAACTTGACTAGATTTCAATAAAAAGTAAAGCAAAAAAGATACAGGCCTGACTTACATGACGACCTGGGCCCGAACGTATGTAAACTGTTGTATTGTTTGAAATACCCCTGGTTTGGAACCCATCCACCCACCCATCAGTTGGGAACTGGGTTAAAAAATAAACTATACTCATATAATAGAACATGGTTAAAAATGAGGGTTGTCTGTGGATGATGGCCTGAATCACTGGTGTAAGCTGAATAGTGTGGTATTGTATACAAAACAAGCAGGGTGCACAGAGCTGTGTGTAGTGTACTCCCATTGGCTTTTGATTTTGAAGCTGGGGTGAGGAGATGTGCCTAATATATATCAGGTTAACACAGCAAGTCTTAATGGTGGTTGTTTCTGCTTGGGAGTGGAATAGAGGGAGTCTTATCTTACTGTAAAGCTTTTATTAAAAGAACTTAAAAAAAAAAATTGTTCATTTTTTAAAAAAAGCTGTGTTCAAAGTGGTCATTTGCATTCAATTCAGTTTAGATGAGTAAGTATTTAAAATCAGTTCAATTTAGGGAACTATTTACAATGCCTTTTGCGCGCAGTATACTTTGGCATGGACCAAGGTAAGTTGAGGAGAGACCATGAGATAGAACCTCAGAAGTAAAGTGAGCACGACTCACCTGCCACCTTAAGAACCGCTTTTACTGAGCCCTGCCATGCAGTGAGCCCTGTTCTGTTTTGGGGAGGGTGGTGCAGAGATGAAAAGGTGGAGCCCTGCTTTCAAAGTGTTTGTCAATCTAGAGGGGCAGTCAAGGTTTACTTTTGAATGGACTGAGGATAAAATTACCCAGTCAGTGAAAAGGAAGAACTGCTAATGAGTCTTCATTTCCTGCTCGGTTTTGTGGCAGATGTTCTACCTTGTAGTTTTGGCATTTCCTACCAGACCGTGCGTGACCTTACCAGCAAGAATTGCCCATCTCTGACTCTCCAGGCTAATACCTATTACTGAATGAACAACAGTCTCAAAAGTGATATTTCTCACATCTCAAATCCATATTTAAGTACTTTTTAAAAATTTTAATATATTTTATCCAACCTTTGTAATCTCTTTAGAATGGCCTTAGTTACTTTAAGAGCTCTTTAACTTGAAAAATGGAAATAAAAACGTAAATACTTTGCTATATCTCCTCTATCGGTAGGGTCCAATAGTCAGATGTTTGTGACGCTCTTCTTTTTTTTCTGAGAAGTTTTTTTAGAATTGTCATTGTGTTCCTTTTCAAAATTTTCTGATACCATTCTTATTTCTGAAGAGAACTCAGGGAAATAATAATAAATGAAAATTTTCATGGATATTCAGTTCTAGCCTACTGTATTTTTATGACTAGTTCATTCTTTATGGTTAAAACAATTTTCTTTTTTTTGTGAGCCAAGACTGACTCATGGCTGTGAACCTGCAATTGATTTTGGCATCTCTGATCATCTTAATTTAAACCTATTAATAGCTATACTTAGAATTTTATTTCTACTTGATTTCTAGCTCTGCATATTCTTCCCTTGCCCCCAATTTCTTTTACTTTAACTTATCTGTATTCTATTTCAAAAATAGACTTGTTTATCCAAGAAGTTTGGTAGAATATGCACAAATGCATCGTTAACTGCAATAGTTTACAAATAGGTGGGATTGTGTTTTACATTTTTTTGCCTAATTCTCATTTTATGAAGTGCTCTGGCTGCTTATGTAATCAGGAAAGGTTGTTTTAAAATAAAAAGATTGTTGATTTTCTGGGAGGGAGGAGAGGTTGAAATGCACCCCATTTGATGTTGTTTCAGAGTCCTTTTTCCTGGAGGAAGCGTTAACCTTATGAGGTCAGGTTATGCTCGTGTGGCCAAAATGTTTTACAACTTGTCCATAAAGGTAAGTCTCAGTTATTTCTTATTATTCCAGGTGAGTTTTTGTAATTTTCCACTAGGATAATTCTTTTCTAAAGCACATGGTGATACCTCCTTCACCGTTACTATAGTCTCATCACCCCTTTAACTCTTGAGGTGCTGGTTCTTTTCCACCCTGTGGCAGCTCTCCCCTCATTTAATTCTGGACTCCAGGGAACCCTCCAGTCCTGCTGACCAGCCCTCTGTACTCGGGCTCATTAATGTGAACCCAGACACTCATGGTGGCTGAGTAAGCAGTCTCTATACGTACTGGGCGTTGTTCATAGGTCGTTAATTCTCATCTCCCCTCGCAAGGTGCCCTCAACCCATCCAATCCTGTTTGACCTTGCTTCACACTCACCTTCAACCCTAAGGCTCCACATGTGGTGACTTGTGTAGCCTCTTGGCTTCTCTGTAACCTCACATTGCACCTGCCTTTACATCGTACCTCAAGCTCTTGGGATTTTGCCCCAGAACTGTCAGCAGCAATTTTCTAATTAATCTTGCTGGCCCTACCATCTACCCAACCTTAGATAATTACCTAAGAAACTGCCTTTAGCATGTGAGATACTTGTTGGAAAATGTTGACTGGCTTAGCTCGTTGACCTGTAGCCTTCTATGGTCATTGAGTCAAGATAGTCTGTGAGTGAAGAGTGTGTCCACAGCGCACCTTTTCCATCCAGCCTTTGTTTGTGCAGGTACTTGGAGTCAGACTGGTGTTTCTAGAACATACCCTGTGTCCTACTTTCAAATCTGCTTAGTCTGTTTCTTTCTACCTCATCTGTTATTTGTGCCTTAGCCAGCTTTCAGGGCTAAGGGTTGTGCACCTTATGGGAAGGTGTCCCTCTAGCCCCCACTAGAATGGCATCCTTCTCCTGCTCAACTTCTAGAGTATTTTGTTGTTGTTGATCAGTCACTAAGTCATGTCTACCTCTTTGTGACCCCATGCACTGTAGCCCGCCAGGCTCCTCTGTCTGTGGGATTTCATAGGCAAGAATACTGGAGTGGGTTGCCATTTCCTTTTCCAGGGGATCTTCCCGACCCAGGGATTGAACCCTCATCTCCTGCATTCTTTACCACTGAGCTACCAGGGAAGCTCTCTGAGATTAAGGAGCTTTTATCTCAGAGACTCAATATCTTGAAGTTAGCTATTGATGTCTCATCAGATTGCATGGTTCTGATACCCTTTGAGGCATTCCTCGTTTCATACCATATGGTTCTGTGTACTTAGTACCTGCTCAGCGGACATTTTTGGAAAAACTAATGAGCAAAATTGAAATTTAACAAAATTATGACAAGAATGATTTAAAAATGCATTTGGGAAGCATATATGTGAATATTATAAAATAACTCTTCTTTTCACAAATAGAGACTTGTGTAACCTGGTTTGTTCAATTAAAAGAAAAACAAAGGAGTCACCTAACTGCCTAACCCGTAAGACACAAAAGGTCTATTTGACAACTTGAAGATTTCAAAACAAAGAAAAAAGCTCAGCAATCTTGAGCTTCCATTTAGGTGTAGCCACTGGGGTCCACAAGCCCTCAGAAGAAGCAGCCTTCAAAAGTGATTTCTGTTAGGTCTGTATGGTTCCATTCTGTGTCCTTTGTTCTACTGATCACAACAAATAAAAGATGCAGTCCCAGCAAGTGGGGATTTAACATTTAGTCCAGAAATCAAATTTGGTACATATGGAAACAGCAGTTTTGTCTTCTGTTGTGTTTATTGTTAAGTGAATGCCGTAAGACCTTTCAACATAGCATACGCAATTCTAACTTCTAAAAGTAAAAGTTTCCTAGATTTGTATATGAAGTATTAAAACCATATCTTGAAGTAGAAAATATGAGTTAATATTGTTCTATATTTTTCTTATTGAGGAACAGAAAAAAATTCCCTAACATTTTCTGTATTTAAAATGCATTACTGGAGTAGGAAATGGCAACCCACTCCAGTATTGTTGCCTAGAAAATCCCGTGGACAGAAGAGCCTGTTGGGCTACAGTCTGTGGGGTTGCAAACGGTCGGACATGACTGAGAATGAGCACACGCGCGCGCGTGAGCGCGCACACACACACACACACACACACACACACACACACTTAGGTTATATTTTACAGTCTCTGCAGGAAAACCACTGTTTTTAAGGAAGTTACAAAACCCATTTTTGTAACTATCAGTACATATGGGTTTAATCTTTAATTAATCAGAAAATTCAGTCACCAGAATACTTTTTTCCCAGTCACACTAGTTTTAATTCCCTCTGAGAGCCCTTGTACCTTTGTACTTCTTTAGTTTACTCTGTGAAAAGTTGTTACTTTTGCTTGCTGTTTCCTTCCTTCCAAATTATGGCTTTCATCAGATTAAATCTGATTGGCTGGAGGCTGTTACTATAAATTCTGAGATAATGGAGGAAAAGGAAAACCTCCATTCAGAGTAGTTTCAAACCTGGACAGTCATTTAAAACAATAGGATTTGTGCACAATGTATAAATAGGCATTTATCTCACATCATCTTCCATATTTACAGTCCCTCAATGATAACATGTGTTGTTTGGTAGTTGACTGGCAGATGTCTGTCTCTTTCCCAGCACAACTGAGTTTGGATAGTTTGGTAAATTAAACCTTAACTTTATGTGGGTGCTTAGTCTACAGAGAGATGGAGTGATAACCTGCTGATAGAAGAGAAAATGCTAGCCTACTACTATTGATCTTGAAAATTCCTTAGAAATCCATGTGTGACTCAAGTGCCCATCTTGTTAGGACAAACTGAATGTATACATTTTGTTATGAAAAGTTTGAATAAGCTTAGTTTTTCTCTTTACTCTGCAAAGAGTTTTGGCGAAGGAGACTATTTTCCTGTGTGGGGCACCTGCCTTGGATTTGAAGAGCTTATTTATCTGGTCAGTGGAGAGAGCTTATTAACTCTTACAGATACTGTTGGAATTAAACTGCCGCTGAACTTCTCTAGAGGTAAGAATTTTCTTTTTGTTCCTTCAAAAAAGTAGTAACTGGGTAAGATTAGTAAATTGCAAATATCCAAGTCAAAAAATGTTTGTAACATTTGTTAATTTTTAACTTATTTACACAGGCTGAAGGTGTAACTCTTTGTACTGAGTTATAAAGATTCCTTAAGGGATTTTGCGTGTTTATAACTTACTGCTTCTAGTGATATCAGGACCATGCATGATGAAAAACTCTAAAATGAGAAATGGTTTTGAGTTCTAACTTTGTTACTTCTGCCTTGGGGGATCATTTAACCTGTCTTAATATTTACAAATGATTTCTAAAAGCATTTACTCTGAGGGTTTTTTGTGAGGGTTAAATAAGACAGTTTTTTCTGGGTAGTATGCTAAGGACTTTTAACATAACTCTCATAAATGTTAGCTTCAGTTGTGTCCAACTCTTTTCAACCCTATGGACCATAGCCCACCAGGCTCCTCTTCCCATGGGATTTTCCAGGTAAGAATACTGGAGAAGGTTGCCAGGCCCTCCTCCAGGGGATCTTCCTGACCCAGGGGTTGAGCCTGCATTTTCCCCTTGGCTGTGAACTGTGTTTTGACCCCAACTGGGGTATACTCCATCCTAGTATGGCACCTAGAGGCAGCTCAGGCTCCAGGTAAAGGTCATCTCCCTGACCAGACTGCCCTTACATCAGATACCAGCCTCTAGTCATGCCCCAAGGCTACCCCAAGGCCACTCACACTTCTGATCAACTGGCCATGAGATTGGGGATACCCATGGGTTTAATGAAGCTTTCCAGGTGGCTTCCCAGGTGGGAAGCTTTTTTTTTTTTGAAGTGGGCGAAGCTTGGGGATGGAGGGGGTTGGGGCACAGGGACTGTGAAGTAACTAAGGCTGAGAAAGGGTGCCTGGGCGGGGGGCGGGGAGCACTCCCCCTCTCCTCCTGGGTGGACAGTCCTCGGGCGGGGGGCGGGGAGCACTCTCCCTCTCCTCCTGGGTGGACAGTCCTCGGGCGGGGGGTGGGGGACGCGCTCCCTTTCCTCCTGGGTGGACAGTCCTCAGGTGGGGGGCGGGGAGCACTCTCCCTCGCCTCCTGGGTGGACAGTCCTCGCTTGTGCCAACTGCCGAGGCTCCTGGGACCCCGGGCTCTAGTGCAGCGGCCTTGGAAGTGGGGGCAGCGGGCCCGGGCTTGAGGAAGAGGTGGCCGACAGCCCATGTTCAACTGAATCCAAAATACGCATGTTTCCTGGGAGAAACAACTGTTGGTGGTGAAATCCTCGATGGCGGAGGGGTGTGGGGGCAGCAGAATGGAGGAGGCAGCGAAATAATCTAATTATCATACCAATAAAGTGTTATTATAAGGAAACCTCGGCCTGTAAGTGAAGACAGCAGTGGGTAGGGCTGGTCTCCGTACTCTTCAGTGAGTACCGAGGGCTTCCCAGGTGGCGCTAGTGGTAAAGAATGCACCTGCCAATGCAGGAGATGTAAGAGACGTGGGTTCAATCCCTGGGTTATAGAGAGATTCCCTTGGAGGAGGGAAACCGACTGGAAACCTGGAAACCCACTCCAGTATTTTTGCCTGGAGACTCCCCATGGACAGAGGAACCTTGGCGGGCTACAACCCATAGGAGTGCAAAGAGTCAGACGCGACTGAAGCAACTTAGCACACACTCAGGCACAGGTTTAATAATGCACTGGAATGGCTGACAGAGGTCAGAAAGTGCTGTGTTTGCAATAAGAGTTTTACTGTAAAGGATTCACGTGGGCTGAGGTCTGGAGGGAAGGCAGAACCTCCTGCCCTCTTTCTGTTGACTCAGGGCACGTCACCCTCCTGGTGCATCAGTATGTTCACCAGCAAAGTGGCTCCAGGGAGCTTTGGTGCTCAGAGTTTTTATTGCAGGTTCATTGTGAAAGCATGATTGATTACATCACTGGCCATGTTATTGAACTCAGTCTCTAGTCCCCGTCCGTCCCATCCCTGGAGATCAGGTTGGCTCAAAGTCAGATTTACTCTTGAAGTCCATTTCATATACATGTGCTGCAGATTCAGGTAAAGTCAGACCTGCTGTAATCATGTGTTCAGTCTCTCTGATCACCAGCCTCATCCCAAAGCTGTCCAGGGGCCACCTATGCCACCTCATGAGCATTACAAAGACATGACCATCCTTCGCGAATTTCCTTGAGATTTCCAAGGGTTTTAAAAGCTTCCATTTCTGAACCCAGGACAAAGACCAGACAAATTCTTTATTTGCCAGTTTGTGTAAATAGATACTGATTCTTGGGAGTTCCCTGGTGGTCCAGTGTTGAAGAATCCACCTGCCAATGCAGGGGAGACAGGTTTGATCCCTGGTCTGGGAAGATGCCACACGTCACGGAGCCGCTAAGCCTGTCCTCCACAGCTACTGAAACCCATGTGCTCTAGAGCCTGTTCTCCACAATGAGAGAGTCCACCCACAATGCAAAGTCTGTGCACAACAACTAGAAAGTAGCAACCCCCCCACCCCCCGCAGTGTAACCAGAGAAAGCCCTCAGGCAGCAGTGAAGATGCAGCACAGCCAAAAAACAAAATTTCAAAAAAAAAAGATGATTCTTGTAGGTTACTTGATCTCAGAATCATCAGAATTGAATGCTACCAACCTTTCTTGTTCTCTTAAGGATTTTGGGATGGAAAGCAGTAGTTGTTATTCCCAGAATTTATAAAATGCCCTTATACTTTTCAAAGCTCTTTCTCAGATTCAAATAGTACAAAAGTCATATGGGAAAGATATGTCTTGGGTCAGTTTCTTTTGGTTGTGTGTGTTTGAAACCCAGTTTATACAAACCAGAAATGAAATCCACTGAAATAAGGAATCAGCAGATTTTGATGATCTGGGGTTCCGGGGTTCTTATGACCATTAGCATCCTGAATGATAGGCTCACTTATGACAGGCTCATGGGGCCTTGACGACCTCCTTGACGACCACCTTGACGACCTCCTTGACGACCACCTTGACTGCCACCTTGACGACCACCTTGACGACCTCCTTGACGACCACCTTGACGACCTCCTTGACGACCTCCTTGACGACCACCTTGACGACGTCCTTGACTACCTCCTTGACTGCCACCTTGACGACCTCCTTGACGACCTCCTTGGCGACCTCCTTGACGACCTCCTTGACGACCACCTTGACGACGTCCTTGACTACCTCCTTGACGACCTCCTTGACGACCTCCTTGACGACCTCCTTGACGATCACCTTGACGACCTCCTTGACGACCACCTTGACGACCTCCTTGACGACCACCTTGACGACCTCCTTGACGACCTCCTTGACTGCCTCCTTGACGACGTCCTTGACTGCCACCTTGACGACCTCCTTGACTACCTCCTTGACGACCTCCTTGACTACCTCCTTGACGACCTCCTTGACGACCTCCTTGACTGCCTCCTTGACTGCCTCCTTGACTGCCACCTTGACGACCACCTTGACGACCTCCTTGACGACCTCCTTGACGACCACCTTGACGACCTCCTTGACGACCTCCTTGACTGCCACCTTGACGACCTCCTTGACTACCACCTTGACGACCTCCTTGACTACCTCCTTGACGACCTCCTTGACTGCCTCCTTGACTGCCACCTTGACGACCTCCTTGACTACCTCCTTGACTACCTCCTTGGCGACCTCCTTGACGACCTCCTTGACTACCACCTTGACGACCTCCTTGACTACCTCCTTGACTGCCACCTTGACGACCTCCTTGACGACCTCCTTGACGACGTCCTTGACTGCCACCTTGACGACCTCCTTGACGACCACCTTGACGACCACCTTGACGACCTCCTTGACGACCTCCTTGACTACCACCTTGACGACCTCCTTGACGACCTCCTTGACGACCTCCTTGACTACCACCTTGACGACCTCCTTGACGACCTCCTTGACGACCTCCTTGACGACGTCCTTGACGACCTCCTTGACTGCCACCTTGACGACCTCCTTGACGACCTCCTTGACGACGTCCTTGACTACCTCCTTGGCGACCTCCTTGGCGACCTCCTTGACGACCTCCTTGACGACCTCCTTGACGACCTCCTTGACTACGACCTTGACTACCACCTTGACGACCTCCTTGACGACCTCCTTGACTACCTCCTTGACGACCTCCTTGACGACCTCCTTGACTACCACCTTGACGACCTCCTTGACTACCTCCTTGACTGCCACCTTGACGACGTCCTTGACTACCTCCTTGACGACCTCCTTGACTACCTCCTTGACGACCTCCTTGACGACCTCCTTGACTGCCACCTTGACGACCTCCTTGACGACCTCCTTGACGACGTCCTTGACTGCCACCTTGACGACCTCCTTGACTACCTCCTTGACGACCTCCTTGACTACCACCTTGACGACCTCCTTGACTACCACCTTGACGACCTCCTTGACGACGTCCTTGACGACCTCCTTGACGACCTCCTTGACTACCTCCTTGACTGCCACCTTGACGACGTCCTTGACGACCTCCTTGACGACGTCCTTGACGACCTCCTTGACGACGTCCTTGACTACCACCTTGACGACCTCCTTGACTACCTCCTTGACGACGTCCTTGACTACCTCCTTGACGACCTCCTTGACTACCTCCTTGACGACCTCCTTGACGACCTCCTTGACTGCCACCTTGACGACCTCCTTGACGACCTCCTTGACGACGTCCTTGACTGCCACCTTGACGACCTCCTTGACTACCTCCTTGACGACCTCCTTGACTACCACCTTGACGACCTCCTTGACTACCTCCTTGACGACCTCCTTGACGACGTCCTTGACGACCTCCTTGACGACCTCCTTGACTACCTCCTTGGCGACCTCCTTGGCGACCTCCTTGACGACCTCCTTGACGACCTCCTTGACGACCTCCTTGACTACGACCTTGACTACCACCTTGACGACCTCCTTGACGACCTCCTTGACTACCTCCTTGACGACCTCCTTGACGACCTCCTTGACTACCACCTTGACGACCTCCTTGACTACCTCCTTGACTGCCACCTTGACGACCTCCTTGACTACCTCCTTGACGACCTCCTTGACGACCTCCTTGACTACCACCTTGACGACCTCCTTGACTACCTCCTTGACGACCTCCTTGACGACCTCCTTGACGACCTCCTTGACTACCACCTTGACTACCACCTTGACGACCTCCTTGACTGCCACCTTGACGACCTCCTTGACGACCTCCTTGACGACCTCCTTGACTACCACCTTGACGACCTCCTTGACTACCTCCTTGACGACCTCCTTGACGACGTCCTTGACGACCTCCTTGACGACCTCCTTGACTACCACCTTGACTACCTCCTTGACTACCTCCTTGAAGACGTCCTTGACGACGTCCTTGACTGCCACCTTGACGACCTCCTTGACGACGTCCTTGACGACCTCCTTGACGACCTCCTTGACTACCACCTTGACGACCTCCTTGACTACCTCCTTGACTGCCACCTTGACGACCTCCTTGACTACCTCCTTGACTGCCACCTTGACGACCTCCTTGACTACCTCCTTGACGACCTCCTTGACTACCTCCTTGACTGCCACCTTGACGACCTCCTTGACGACCTCCTTGACGACGTCCTTGACTGCCACCTTGACGACCTCCTTGACGACCACCTTGACGACCACCTTGACGACCTCCTTGACGACCTCCTTGACTACCACCTTGACGACCTCCTTGACTACCTCCTTGACGACCTCCTTGACTACCACCTTGACGACCTCCTTGACTACCTCCTTGACGACCTCCTTGACGACGTCCTTGACGACCTCCTTGACGACCTCCTTGACTACCTCCTTGGCGACCTCCTTGGCGACCTCCTTGACGACCTCCTTGACGACCTCCTTGACGACCTCCTTGACTACGACCTTGACTACCACCTTGACGACCTCCTTGACGACCTCCTTGACTACCTCCTTGACGACCTCCTTGACGACCTCCTTGACTACCACCTTGACGACCTCCTTGACGACCTCCTTGACTGCCACCTTGACGACCTCCTTGACTACCTCCTTGACGACCTCCTTGACGACCTCCTTGACTACCACCTTGACGACCTCCTTGACTACCTCCTTGACGACCTCCTTGACGACCTCCTTGACGACCTCCTTGACTACCTCCTTGACGACCTCCTTGACGACCTCCTTGACTACCACCTTGACGACCTCCTTGACTACCTCCTTGACGACCTCCTTGACGACGTCCTTGACGACCTCCTTGACGACCTCCTTGACTACCACCTTGACTACCTCCTTGACTACCTCCTTGAAGACGTCCTTGACGACGTCCTTGACTGCCACCTTGACGACCTCCTTGACGACGTCCTTGACGACCTCCTTGACGACCTCCTTGACTACCACCTTGACTACCTCCTTGACTACCTCCTTGACGACGTCCTTGACGACGTCCTTGACTGCCACCTTGACGACCTCCTTGACGACCACCTTGACGACCTCCTTGACTACCTCCTTGACTACCACCTTGACGACCTCCTTGACTACCACCTTGACTACCTCCTTGACTACCTCCTTGACGACGTCCTTGACGACGTCCTTGACTGCCACCTTGACGACCTCCTTGACGACCTCCTTGACGACCTCCTTGACTACCACCTTGACTACCTCCTTGACTACCTCCTTGACGACCTCCTTGACTACGACCTTGACTACCACCTTGACTACCTCCTTGACGACGTCCTTGACGACGTCCTTGACTGCCTCCTTGACGACCTCCTTGACGACCTCCTTGACGACCACCTTGACTGCCACCTTGACGACCTCCTTGACTACCTCCTTGACGACGTCCTTGACTACCTCCTTGACGACCTCCTTGACGACCTCCTTGACGACCTCCTTGACTACGACCTTGACTACCACCTTGACTACCTCCTTGACGACGTCCTTGACGACGTCCTTGACTGCCACCTTGACGACCACCTTGACGACCTCCTTGACTACCTCCTTGACGACCTCCTTGACGACGTCCTTGACGACCACCTTGACTACCTCCTTGACGACCTCCTTGACGACCTCCTTGACGACCACCTTGACTACCATCAGGATTTTCTTATCCTTTGCTGCTCTTTGTGTCAGACTCCAGAGTTTTCAGTGAAGTAAATTGCTTCTTCTGGTCTGTCTAGTGGTTAGTGACCTGGTTTGTGTTCTTTTCCACATCGTTGGTATTTTTAACCATTTAAGTCCCAGATACTTTGAAAATGTGTTGGGAGTTCTAGATCCTTTCCTGAGCAAACAAATATATACACATGTGGACAATTTTACCTATTTTTCAGCCCTATCTAGAGAACTCAAATTAAAATCCTCTGCTTACTCTGTGGCTAGCCTGCTCATTATCATGTCCAAAGAATTTTAGTTACTTATGTTGTAATTCTAGAGGAAAGGTACGTTAAGTATGGAACATATTTGGAACTGTGTGTTGAACATATTTTGTGCCTGACTAGAATACTCGTGTGGAAATGATGTGTTTGCAGATCATTTAGTCATCTTGATTGTGTCTTCACAGTGGCCTCTCTTTGACTGTGACTTCAGCGGACTTTATTTTTTGTGTGTGTTTGAATGATTTCTCTTGGGCTTAAATTTTTTCAGGTACGTTGCAGAGCAGAATGTTCCAGAATTTTCCTTCTGACTTGCTGCTGTCATTAGCAGTAGAACCTCTGACCGCACATTTCCACAAGTGGAGCCTCTCCGTGATGGTATCTCATTTATTATGCAGTGAAATCCATGCTGAATTTAGATTTATTACAGAAGTAATCATTTTGGTTTTATTTTTGCACTTCAGAATTTTACAAAGAATGAAAAGTTAAAGGCGTTTTTCAATATATTAACTACAAATACAGATGGCAATATTGACTTTATTTCAACCATGGAAGGTATGTATCACTGCACATGTATACTTTATTATATTTATGAATTTTGATTCTATAGTTCTCTTATGAATAAAATCTCTTTATGAATAAAATCATTTAAAATCTCTCTTAAAAATAAAATCATGAATGAAACTTGGGGGACTGAAGTTGGACGTTAGGGCATTATTGGAGAAAAGAGGCCCATGTTTCGCTCAGGTTCCAAAATCAGTTGCAGATTACCTGGGTCACCTTCTGGGTCAAGGTGATGAAAATGGAAAGGAGGTGAAGACTGTGGGGAGGATCAATGAAGATAAATGGAGAAGATGACTTCTGCTTCTAGCAACATTACAGATTAAGTACATGCTCCAGACAACACAAAAAATGTGATTGGCATACAGAAAAAAACTCCCTAAATACATTGATGAAAGGACAGTAAGGGTATTTAGGTCCTAAACTCCAGGAGTTAAATGGAGCATTTAAACCAGCATTGTTACTGAATCAGGAGAACTTGAGGTGAAGCTCAGGATCACCCTCTCTGGAGAGTACCCTCACAGAGCAGGACCTGAAAGGCTGGACCCTCAACAAATTCTGTATGCAGAACTGCTCAGAGCTAAGAGCTCATTGAGAGCTGAGACTGTGTCTTATTCTTCTTTGGGTTTCCAGGAGATGTTGAACGGATGACTGATTATGTAAATGAAAGAGATTTGGCTTGGAAATTAGGGCGTCAGGCTTCCGTGCTGGCTGTGTTTCTGGCTGTGTCATCATACCAGGCTCATTTGAAAATTTTATCTTCTGAAAACTTCCTGATACCTGCTAGATAGAAACACTGGAGATGCCCTTATTTGCATATTTCCTTCCTATTCTTGATACTTTTGTTCTAAGTTAGTGCGACAGGGCCTGGTTCCTACATTGTCATTGTCGGGAACCTGTGTTGATCTTTCAGTGATGCAGTTTACAAAAAAAAGAGTAAATCTCAACTTGTTTCTGAATTTCACTGTATCTCTGTCGAAACATTCATCTGTCTATTTTTCTATCTATCTGAAAAATCTTTGTTACAATTTATCACTTGTTGTTCAGCTGTGAAGCTGTGTCCAGCTCTTTGTGACCCCATGGACTGCAGTATGCCAGGCTTCCTTGTCCTTCAGTATCTCCTGGAGTTTGCTTACCATTGAGTTGGTGATGCCATCCAACCATCTCATCCTCTGTTGTCCCCTTCTCCTCCTGCCTTCAGTCTTGCCCAGCATCAAGGTCTTTTCCAGTGAGTCAGCTCTTCGCATCAGGTGGCCAAAGTATTGGAGCTTCAGCATCTGTCCTTCCAGTGAATATTCAGGACTGATTTCCTTTAGGATTGGTTTTATCTCCTTGCAGTCCAAGGGACTCTCGAAGAGTCTTCTCTAACACCACAGTTCAAAAGCATCAGTTCTTTGGCATTCAGCCTTCTTGATGGTCCAGTTTTTACATCCATACGTGACTACTGGAAAAACCGTAGCCTGACTATATGGACCTCTGTCAGCAAAGTAATGTGTCTGCTTTTTAATATGCTGTCTAGGTTTGTAGTAGCTAGGGTGTTTGTTATCCTAAATAGTACTTTTCATGTCTCAAAGAAATACATTAGATGATCTGTCTTTCAGTTATCTGTGTGTAGCAATTGATTTTCTAGTCATCTAGCCAATGGGTCTCCTGCTGGTGTCACCACATGTGGTCCCAGACAGAGAGAGCATGTTACAGGGAGGTGGGGGCACTGTGGGAGAGGGATGGAGCAGTGGCCACAGCTACTTGGTCTTAGGTTCTCCTCTTGTGAACCTTGCCTGAGGAAAGGTAGGATGAAGTAGGTTTTCTTTGTGTGATGTGATCTCTCCTAGCAGAGTCTCATGGGGTGCAAGAGGACAGTGCTCTTTTCCCTGGATACCTCTACTTTCCAGTAACTCATTCCTCCAGATATTTTCATATGGTAGTTAGGGTTTTAATTTCAATGCAAAAGTAATAGAGGACTTCTTTTTCAATTAATACACTATTGACTGGTGGGTTTTTTGCAGAAACTAATGCCTGTGGCTAGCGATTTGTTATGTAAGTGAATATTAAAACACTCCAGTCAGTAATGTTTGGGTAACAAAAGACATTTTTTTTTTTTTAAACAAAAGACATGTTAATACATCTCTGGTCAGTAAATTGTTAAAATGAGGAAAGGCATATGTGTAAAGAAAAAAATGAGTATGTAAATTTCTCAGAAGGCAAATATCACACATACTCATGTCTTTAAAAGGTTACAGAATTTTAAAACCACAGTTAGAAGTAGGCGAGTAATATAGTGACATCCTGGGTACCTTTCTCTAAGTTTCAGCAACTTTCACATTTATGTGGCCATTCTTATTTCATACAGTCCATGGGGTCACAAGAGTTGGACATGGCTTATTTCATATCTACTTTTTCCTCCTACTAGAACATTTTTTGGAGTAAATCCTAGGGATCATATCATTTTTATATATAAAAGTAGTTAATAATTCTAAGAATAAGTGAACTATAGTAGCAAAAATCTTTCAAATTTAAACTTCTTTAAAAAACTATTTAAAAATTGATTCAGTGAAGTCATGAACCATTCCACAGACTGTGAGAGAGGCACAGTGTATGCTGAGACACACTAGCTAACCTATAAAGACACCAGAGATGCTGGCATAGTTCATTCTCCCATGAATAAGTTATTATATCCGAGGGGATGAAGATGTGGTGTGAAGTGGGGGGAAAAGAAACCCATTGTAGAAGAAACTTGTCACTGATCAGATGTACCCCTGACTATTGAACTGGTCTGTATTCAGAGGCTCAGTTATTTCACTCTACTCTGATCATGCTTACTCCTTGGAAGAAAAGCTATGAGAAACCTGGACAGTATTTTAAAAAGCTGAGACATTACCTTGCCAACAAAGGTCCATATAGTCAAAGCTATGGTTTCTCCAGTAGTCATGTATGGATGTGAGAGTTGAACCATAAAAAAGGATGAGTGCTGAGGAGTTGATGCTTTTGAACTGTGGTGTTGGAGAAGACTCTTGAGAGTCTCTTGGACTGCAAGGAGATCAAACCAGTCAATCCTAAAGGAAATCAATCCTGAATATTCATTGGAGGGACTAATGTTAAGGCTGAAGCTCCAATATTTTGGCCACCTGATATAAAGATCTGACTCACTGGAAAAGACCCTGATGCTGGGCAAGATTGAAGGCAAAAGGAGAAGGGGACGACAGAGGATGAGATAGTTGGATGGCATCACCAACTCAATGGACATGAGTTTGAGCAAACTCCGGGAGATGGTGAAGGACAGGGAAGCCTTGTGTGTTACAGTCCATGGGGTCACAAAGTGTTGGGCACAACTGAGCAACTAAATAACGAACAACAACAACTCTGATCACCTAGTAAAGTAAATCATATTTCAAATTATAAAAAGTGCATGCGTGCTAAGTTACTTCAGTCATGTCTGACTCTTTTTGACCCCATGGGCTGTAGCCCATCAGGCTCTATTCTTGGGATTCTCCAGGCAAGAATAGTCGAGTGTGTGGGTAACGGTGCCCTTCTCCAGGGGATCTTCCCGACCCAGAGATTGAACCAATGTCTCTTATGTCTCTTGCTTTGACAGGCCGATTTCTTTTTACCACTAGTCACCTGTGACTCTCATAAAAGGTTATAAGTCAGTGAAATACTGTTACTATGAACTTCACATTGTGAATTGAAATTCTTTGTTTCTGATAATAATATGCACAGTTTTACTTTGTCTGACATTGTGGGCTATAAAAGTAATGTTTTACACAGAATATACAACATAATTGTATCATCTTAGACCATTGTTACCATTTAATACTCACCAGTGTATTCTTTGTGCAGGATACCGGTATCCAATATATGGCGTCCAGTGGCATCCGGAGAAAGCTCCTTATGAGTGGGGGCAATTAGAAGGCATTTCCCATGCACCTAATGCTGTGAAGGCTGCATTTTATTTAGCAGAGTTCTTTGTGGCTGAAGGTAATATGAGGCAGAGGTTATAATTTCATCACTCTAGTGTGGTTCTGAAGGAAATTGCCCTCATCTGAACTTCTGTGTGTTCTATAAATGTTCTGTAGGTTTAACTTTTAAGAAAACTGAGAGCCCTGAAATTGAGATATTAGTCATTTAAATCAAATCAGGACCATTATCTCAGTTAACAGTATTGCATTCTCTAAAGTGGGTTGAATTCTTAAACAACCGCATAAAGATTTTCTTTTTTCTGTCTTTCTTGATACCTTTTTTTAAGATGTTTTCCTATTACTGTTGGGTTCCCTGGTGGCTCAGTGGTAAAGAATCCACCTGCCAGTGCAGGAAATGTGGTGGGGAAGATCCCTGGAGAAGGACCTGGCAACCCTCTCCAGTATTCTTGCCTGGAGAGTCCCATGGACGGAGGAACCTGGCGGGAGGCAGTCCACAGAGTCGCCAAGAGTTGGACACGACTGAGCGACTAAACAACAGCCACCATCATTACTCTTCTTTGGAATAATATTTTAATTGTGACATTATCTGAGAATTAGATCTTATTTTTCCAAGACAGTTATATGAGTTGAATCTATACTCATCAGTCTGTGGATTTAGGTCTCCCTGTCTATAGGTGTTGGCACATTGGAGAGTTAATTCGCTTCACCTGCTTTTTCATGTTGGATACACAGATGTAGTCACACAGTGTTATATTTGTGGGTAATTGAGAATTTGGTTCTAGATGCCTGAGGTTTAGTTGAGTGATGTGGGTGTGAGACAGAGCTACAGATGCAGCTCGCCAAGGATGGGGGCATCCCTTGGGCAAGGCGTGGGCATGGGAAGACTTGGCTTTCTCCATCCAAGCTTTCCCTGAGGTTTATCAACCCTCTCTCCACGCTGGCAGGTGTATACTGCATCCCGAGTTCACCGTGGTTTAGGATTATGCTCAGTTGAATGGGTTATTTCTTGACAAAACCCCAAATTAAAAAAAAATCCAAAAGTTCTCCCATGGGCAGTATTAGTCCTGAGAAATGTTTTTAGGTCGCATGTGTAGAAGTGAATGAGGACAGCACTGGGCAGGGCATGGTTTTCTCCAGCGCTGTCACAGGCATGACTATGCTGTCTTCATCTTCCAATGCCCTCTTTCTAAAAAATGCCTGAAAAGCCCTTATTAGTTTATTTTGACTTTAAGGTAAAGTCTGAGCCTTCACCCCCTCACATTCAAACTTCAGCTTCACCGACTTCTTCGTGCCTCCTTCCATTTCAAATTTCCACCTCTCTTCTCCGCTCCCTCCCCGCACCCCACACCTGCCTCGGCTATGCAGCGTCCCCCTCCTCTTTACTCTTGAACCATCTTCAGGAAGTTAGTCTATAAAAAATGTTCTATGTAACGATGTGATATTCATAGTTTGTCCTCATGCATGGAGTAAACAATGTACCATTTATATACAGAATGTATCATGTTCAATCAAGTGAAAGTGTTAGTCTGTCAGTCCTGTCTGACTCTTTGTGACCCCATGGACTGTAGCCTGCCAGGCTTCTCTGTCCATGGAATTCTCCAGGCGAAAATACTGTAGTGGGTTGCCATTCACTTCTCCAGGGGATCTTCCCCACCCAGGGATCCAACCCGGGTCTCCTGCATTGCAGGTGGATGTTCTACCATCTCAGCCGCCAGAGAAATCCCTGTACATTGCAGTGTACATTGCAGTGGGGCAGGTCACTGAACATACAAAGTACCCAGCAATGGGATCCTCTAGAATTTGTTGTTAATACTGACATAGCACATGACAATAATAGGTTACTCTTTATGTGCAACTTTCAGGGAACAGTTTAGGTACAGTTTCCGCTTTGATTGCTGATGGAGGAGTTGGAGCGTCTTCCTTGATGTCTCGTGGGCAGGTTTTCCTCCTTTTCTGGTCTATAAGACCAGAGTGATAAATCAACTGTGAAGACTCTTCAGTTTAGAAGATTATTTCCAATTAAGGTTGTGAGTAGCCTAAGTAAAGAATAAGCAAATAAAAGATTGGGACTTCCCTGGTGGTCCAGTGGCTAAGACTCTGTGCTACCAGTGTTAACAAGAAGGTTAACAGTATTCACTTCTGTGTGGGAATCAGATTAGACTGCTTGAGAGTTAGGACGTTGCCTGGTGAATATTTCCATCTCCAGGAGAGGCGTCAAGCCTTATGCGCAGTACGTACTTAGTAGGTGCCTAGTAGGTGTTTGCACCACGTGGGGTCTGGTGCAGAGCAGGTGTGGCTGCTATCAGGAGAATGCCCCTCCAAGTCAGGTGCTGCTTTGTCTGGGGGAAATTTTATAAGACATTTTTTCATTTTGCTGGCCTTGTCCCACTAAATAATGCTGATTAGAGGAAGGAACATCATAAAGTAGCCTTTTGAAAATTGTACCCCATCTTCTTAAAAATCCTTTTTTTGTCTTGCAGCTCGGAAAAACAATCACCATTTTGAATCTGATGTTGAAGAGAGCAAAGCGCTAATTTATCAGTACCGTCCAATTTACACTGGAAACGTTTCTTCGTTCCAGCAAAGTTACATATTTGATTGAAAGGCTTTGCTGTGTTAACAGGAATTCTGATTCATTCCCTGAGTAAACTGTTATAATAATGAAAAACGTGCTACTCGTGGCAGTAATAGGTCACAGAGATGCCTTTTCTGTGATGTTACTGACTCTGATTCTTCATTCAGTATTTTTGTGTATCACATTTGATAATCAGTGAGACAGATAAATAATCATAGCGTGTTTCATGGAAAAGCTTTGTTTTATTTAAAGATTAGGAAATAAATTTATTGAAAATACAGATGTTTTATTTTTTCTGATTCTGGCAATACCACTCCCTAAGCTATCTACCTACCTCATCCTTGCTGGACTGTTTTTATTTTTTAATCAATTTTTATTGAGGTATAGTTAACATACAGCATTATATGAGTTTTAGGTGTGCAATATTGATTTGATATTTTTATACATTACAAAATGTTCACCACAGTCTAGTTACCGTCTCCATAGAATGTTGTTACAATATTATTGGCTATAGTTTCTGTGTGTACATTACATCCCCCTGGCTTCCTTATTTTGTAACTGGAAGTCTTTATCTTTTTTTTTTTATTTATTTTTTTTTTTTTATTTTATTTTATTTTTTCATTTATTTTTATTAGTTGGAGGCTAATTACTTTACATCATTGCTGTGGTTTTTGTCATACATTGAAATGAATTAGCCATGGATTTACATGTATTCCCCATCCCGGTCCCCCCTCCCACCTCCCTCTCCACCCGATCCCTCTGGGTCTTCCCAGTGCACCAGGCCCGAGCACTTGTCTCATGCACCCAACCTGGGCTGGTGATCTGTTTCACCCTAGATAATATACGTGTTTCGATGCTGTTCTCTTGAAACATCCCACCCTCACCTTCTCCCAGAGTCCACAAGTCTGTTCTATACATTGGAGTCTCTTTTTCTGTTTTGCATATAGGGTTATCGTTACCATCTTTCTAAATTCCATATATATGTGTTAGTATACTGTAGTGGTCTTTATCTTTCTGGCTTACTTCGCTCTGTATAATGGGCTCCAGTTTCATCCATCTCATTAGAACTGATTCAAATGAATTCTTTTTAATGGCTGAGTAATATTCCATGGTGTATATGTACCACAGCTTCCTCATCCATTCGTCTGCTGATGGGCATCTAGGTTGCTTCCATGTCCTGGCTATTATAAACAGTTCTGCAATGAACATTGGGGTGCATGTGTCACTTTCAGATCTGGTTTCCTCAGTGTGTATGCCCAGAAGTGGGATTGCTGGGTCATATGGCAGTTCTATTTCCAGCTTTTTAAGAAATCTCCACACTGTTTTCCATAGTGGCTGTACTAATTTGCATTCCCACCAACAGTGTAAGAGGGTTCCCTTTTCTAAGTCTTTATCTCTTAATCCTCTTTACCTACTTTGCTCAGCCCTCTGTCTTTCTCCCCTCTGGTGACCACCTGTTCATTCTCTGTAACTGTTTCTGTTTAGGTATGTTTATTCATTTGCTTTATTTTTTCTAAATCCCAAATATAACTGAAATCATACAGCATTTGTCTTTCTTTGTCTAACTTATATCAGTGTAATGACCCTCCAGATCCATCTGTCTTGTCACAAATGGCAAGATTCCTCTCTTTTTTTATGGCTGAGTAATCCTGTGTGTTGGACTGCAAGGAGATCCAACCAGTCCATCCTAAAGGAGATCAGTCCTGGGTGTTCACTGGAAGGACTGATGCTGAAGCTGAAACTCCAATACTTTGGCCACCTCATGCGAAGAGTTGACTTGTTGGAAAAGACTGATGCTGGGAGGGATTGGGGGCAGGAGGAGAAGGGAACGACAGAGGATGAGATGGCTGGATGGCATCACCGACTCTATGGGTGGGCATGAGTTTGAGTAAACCCCGGGAGTTGGTGATGGACAGGGAGGCCTGGTGTGCTGCGATTCATGGGGTCGCAAAGAGTCGGACACGACTGAGTGACTGAACGGAACTGAATCCTCTGTGTGTGTGTGTGTGTGTGTGTATGTAGTACAGATATATATTTCTGTTTCTGCTGTTTCAAATCCATAGTTGAGGCGGAGTCTGTGTTTTGAACTTTTATTTCTCAGTGCTCCCCATAGTAGTACCTTGATAAATGTTTGTGACTATTCGTGAATGTATCTTTTTTTCCATGGAAAATGATTCAAATGCTGTCATATATTTGCTTGGGTATATTTTTATCTGTTTCTTAGTCTGTGCTTCCCTCTTCCACCCTTTACCATCCTAAATACCCTCAAAAACATTTGAAGTTTAGGAATACCTTGAGGGCAACCAAGCAGTTGGAGAATTTTTTTTTTTTAATCTGTTTCTGGCAGCAGGTAAGTATTTGCTCTCCTTGTTCTCCTGGAGATACTGCTGGAGAGGGAAGCATGGGAAGCTGAGTGATTGGGCAAGATGCTGGGGAAGATAAGGAATGATTTGATGTGCAGAAAGATAGGAGCAATAATTTGAAGATACTGGATCAGACCATAAGCTTTGGGCAGTAAGGCCACACAGAACATAGAAATTAGAGGTTAACCCATTTAATCACTTGAGAGGACTTTAACAGGAGTATGGGAGATTTAGTTTTTGCCCGTGAGCATGAAGATTGAGAGTTGTTTTCTCAACTGTGACATTTCTGACTAACTTCACATCTATTTATCAATTGGAAAAGGTAGTGACACAGTAATGTTGCCTGGAGAATCCTGTGGACCAAGAAGCCTGGCTGGGCTACAGTCCGTGGGGTCGCAAAGAGCCGGACACGACTGAGCGGCTTAGCAGCAGCAGCAGCAGCGATACTGTTGTTACTCACCCTCCCTGGGCTCTGCCAGCCCGTCTGTTGAATTATAGATCTGCTCATTTCCAAAGTTCCCTAGTAACACTGAATCCAGATGGCATTTTAACTCATGGTGCTGTATCAGCCATCTTCCTGCCCATGAACACTGGCTTCTTAATGCCAAATTTCTCACGGCCATGGTGACCACAAATGCAGGAAAATGTGGACTGATGATGTTTTTCTTGACTCATGTTTTCCATTTTCCCCAACTGTGTTATCTTTATGCTGGAAGCAACTTTATTCCAAGAGCAGAATCTCTTGCAAAGTTGACAGCACTCCTGCCTTCCCCACACCACCGCCAGGGTGCTCGGCAAGAGGCCTAAGGGCAAGTGAGGAGAGTTCTTTTCAGGAAAGGTATTTGTGTCCCATGTCAGTGTGGCTGGAGACTGACCCAGAGCAGCCTGACGTGGCTTCGTTAGGGCAGCCAGCGGAGAACGTGGCTGAGAAGGGCCTGCTGATGTTAGTGAGCATCAGTCAGGAAGCCCTGGGAGGAGATGGGCGGCTGTCACTGGAGAACTGTCTGACACCCAGGAACCTGGGGAAGGGGTGCCAGCGGCCGGAGGCGTGGAGGCCGGCAGATGGGTGCCACCCTGCCACTTGTGCATTCTGTAAATGGTAGCTGACACTGTAGTTGGAGAAGGAAGAGCCAGGACATGGGCACGCGTGGTGGTTCCAGCCCAGGGGCTGGCGAGTCTCCAGCAGCTGGATCCCTGAACTTGCCCTGTTCCCATCATGAGAGTCACTGGGAATCAGCAGGTCAAGGGACACCCCTGGTGGTCCAGAGGTTAAGACTGTGTGTCCAGTACAGGGGGCCTGTTTTCGATCCCAGGTAGGGAAACTAAAATACCACATGCTGTGTGATGCCACACACACACACAAAAAAAGCATTTTGACATCACCATTCTGCTCACAAATCTCTCACAATCCTTTGAGAGAAAAAATACTGTGCTTGCCAGGTGGCCCTTCTGGCGCCATCCTGTCATCATGACTCCCAGAGCAGGGGGCCTGTTGTTGAGCCAGGAATGGGGAGGTGTAGGGCAGCACCTTGAAGGGGAAAAGTGGGAGGCAGGGCCCATGGAGCTCCCAAAAGGCTCAGAGTGGCCTGCCGGCATGGCCCTGCCCTGGCTGACTCCTCCCCTTATGAAACACTGAGGTGTGTGCATCCTGGGACCGTGGCCCACATTTGACCAGCTCCAGGTATGGGGTGCTTCACCCAGAAAGCACTTCTGCCCCCAACAGGTCTCAGGCACTGGAAAGGGGCTTAGACAGCTTGGCGGAAGGTACTGATCGGTCTGGGAACCTTTGAGGAGCCAGGTCTGAGCAGGGGCTTCACTCACCTGAGGGTGATACCACCTGGCTCACCACGGGCCCAGGGCCAGCTGTGGCTGAGAGGGTTAAGTAAGAGGCCTTAGAAGGTTTGTTTCTGAGCACAAGTGTGGATGCCATACTCCCCACCGTGGTTGAAGAAGGCAGCCCTTGGTGTCCCAGGACCCTTGCCTTGATCCTGTTAAAGGTTGTAACTGGGAAAGGTTAATTTTGAATTCATGCTGGATCTGCTTCTGTGACTTTAACCCTCATCTTGCTGCTTTTGTTATGAAAGAAAGTGTTAGTCACTCAGTCATGTTGGACTCTTTGTGACTCCATGGACTGTAGCCCACCAGCCTCCTCTGTCCATGAGATTCTCCAGGCAAGAATACTGGAGTGGGTTGTCATTTTTTATAAACATACATCATGGCCTGCTCAGGGAGATAACCTGTGCCACCTACCTGTGAAGCACTGTGAGGAAGTGAAACTAACACATCCCCCCAGTCTGAGGCTCGCCGTTCTAGGGGACATTTGCAAGGATTGAACAGTCTTTTTCCTTTGTTTCCTCACCTCCCACCATCTCTGATCCATAAAAGAACCTGGCATCCAGGCCCAGACAAGATGGTTATTTTGAGGCACTAGCATGCTATCTTCTGGGTCAGCTGGCTCCCGAATAAAGTCCCTTCCTTGTCTTAACTGCTTGTTGGGGAATTACTGGCTTCTCGTGCAGTGAGCAGAGCGGGCTTGGACTCGTAACAACTCTGGTCAGCTTCTCTTATTCCTAGAGGTGGTTTGTCAGTTGAAACTCATTTGCTTCCAGTCTATGGCAGCCCCCTCCAGTATTCTAGCCTGGAGCATCCTATGGACAGAGGAGC